GGTCAGGTGCCCTCCGAGGGGTGCCGCCTCCAGGTCAGGGACCGTTTCACCAGCAGCCACTTGCAGCGCCGCCGGCCCGCTCGCCGCCGTCAAGTGCTGGCTGGGCGGCGCGACCGGAGGCGCGTCGGGCGTCGGCGATGACAGCACGGTCGGCTGGAGAGGCGCCGTACCGGGCGTGCCGGGGGCGCACGCGGCGGCCGTCTCGGCGGCGCACGCGGCCGCCAAAGCGCGCGCCGCCGCGGCGGACGCTCACGCTCGGGCCGCGGCGGCGGAGCGGAGGGCGAGGGAGCTGGCGGCCGAGGCGAGGGCGCGGGCGGCCGCCGCGCGCGACGCGACGAGGGGGGGGCGGCGCGGGGCAGGCTGACGTGCTGTGTGTGAGGCGACCTGGCGACGGGAGGGGGTTGCGACCCTACTCTGCGAATATACGTCCTCCAAACGACCTCCAAAAGGGCTGTGATCTGCCCGTATTCTCCGACCGTATTCCACACGTATTCCAGAGTACGTATTCCAAACGAGGCCCCCAAATGGACGTATGTTCCGAATAAAATTTTCTTCGCTCCTCCGCGAATAATTGCTACACAGAGTAGGGTTGCGACGGACCGACGACCGACGTCACATGCCCCCCCCGCCAGGCTGCAGGCAGGGAGGCACGCGCGTGCTGGAAGCTGGATCCTGGTGGTACGGGGTGTGGAGGGTGAGTTGACCAGGGGGTTGTGCGCCGGGCCCTCCTGCTCGGCTCCGGCGCGGGGCCCCCCGGAGGCACCGTGCGCCGCGCCGCAGTGCGGAAACGGGGCTCCGGCGCTCATACTCGCTCATACTACCAACTTCCCGATCTAACCCGGTCTAACAGAGGGCAGATTTGGAGAGATCTCGAGGAGTACATACAGATAGACCCTCCAACCACCAGAAAACTTCGACCTGATCGGTCGTACTGACCGCCGACTGATCACTCCAGACAGCAGACAGGCCGACGTCTGCACGTGGCCGGCCGGGCGAGAGGCTTGACACGATCCGACCCTGCGACCCTGACGCTGCTGCTCTAGCTATCAGCCATGCACTGCTGACTGCTGCCACAATGTGCGACCTGTGCTGGCCCACTTGGCGGCCTTCCCGGTCAGTGGTGAGGCGCAGTTCAGAGCTGTCGATGGCGCGATGCCGCACTGGTCCCACATTGGTGACACGAGACCACCAAGTTTGCCGGTCCAAGAGAGAGGCACCGGCGCTGTCCTCACCTGAGAAGGTGCGTGGTCCCTCTTGACTGCCCATGCGCGCGAGGCTGTGTAGGCATAGCCTCGAGAGTGCCAGCAGCCAATCCGAGGTGACGCGCATTGCGTCAGAAGCGTGCACGCGCTGGAAGGACACCTTCCTACTGGCCGTACGATCAGGTCGTCACTGAATGCTTGATACTAAGGCCGCGAGCTATGCAGGTGATCAATTGTGCATCATGGCACGGTCAGCTGCGCCGACAGGCTGTCGCAAGGCGTGATAGCATGGCCGCAAGTACGCCGAATTCCCATGAAACAAGTAAAAATCTCGAAAAAAGAAAAAAAAACTCCAAAAAAATCGGCGCCTGCGGCGGGCCATGGGACCCCATCTCCCCCCCGCATGGACACCCTCTGGGGCCCCCGCGCCGGCCCAGAGAGCCGGTAGACAAGTCTTGTCATCAACAGAGTAGATGGATCTGACCTCGCTCCTCGGGGCCGATGTGACCAAGCGCTGGTGGCGTGGTTTGACCTCACACCCATGGTCTCACAGTGTGCCGGCAGTCGCCGAGCAGTGTCGCTCACACAAGCCGCAGCACAAGTGACTGAGGGCCAGTGAGGGCGAGCCCATCGCTGTCACAGCTGTAGCAGCCGCACAGTAGGTTTCGCCTCAGATTTTGCCCCAAACCAGCTCTCAGACTCAGGGAAACTCGAGAGTTGCCAGAATGGAGCAGGAATGGAGCACCAAACACCCTCTTCCCTGTGGTTTCCCTGGAAACTTCCGGAAACTCAAAGTGCTGGGGACCCTCTGGTTTCCCTCTGGGTTGCCGGAAACTCTCGAGCGGGCTTCACCCCGCACGCCGCGGGCTTCACCCCGCACGCCACGGGCTTCACCCCGCACGCCGCGGAGCTCGAGGCTCCGAGCTCTCCGTCCCTCCGAGCCCTTGGAGCACCTGGAGTGCAGTCGGCAGCGGCGCGGTGCGCAGCCCCTCAACCGCGCAGACTCCTCCACCGCCCGCTCTCCCTGTGCTGCACTCGGTACAGCAGGGATTGTCCCACAAAAGGGTTCGACGCCAAAAAACCAAAATGGAGATGCCAACCGCGCAGACTCCTCCACCGCCCGCTCTCCCTGTGCTGCACTCGGTACAGCAGGGATTGTCCCACAAAAGGGTTCGACGCCAAAAAACCAAAATGGAGATGCCGGGCTTCGATCCCGGTACCTCTCGCATGCGAAGCGAGCGATCTGCCAATTGATCTACATCCCCGTGCCTCGACGAGGCATTCGGTGTGGAAGAGAGCCGGAGGGCGGCAGCCTATATAGCTAAAAATTGGTGAAAGAGAATTTGGAGGTGAGAGAGAAATGATGTTTTAAGAGAGATTGATGAAGTGTTGGGAGGGGGGGTGGAAGGGGGGAGTGGTTTTGAGTGATGTGTATATATTATTAAAGGTGTGAGAGAGAGATTTTTAGAGATAGGGTTACGTTAGGGTTAGATATGGTGAAATTGAGAACGGAGGAATGTGTTTTGACGTAGCCGTGGCCGTTCTTGTGGTCGAAGGGTTGGCCGGGTTGCCCGCGGCTTGAGGCGTTGCCAACGCCCGTCGAGGAGGTCTTGAGGAGGGGCGTCCAGAGCTTGACTTCATTCACCTCATCGCATCCTCCCGGGCCAGCGTGGGGTTCCGCGAGGTCGACCTTGTACCCCTCGTTGTACTGCCGAGTGGAGCTCTTGTTTCTCCTTGTCACCGTGCACGACCGGCGCGTTGGCCGGGGCGCGCATCGCGTCCGCCCAGGCGGCGAGGACGCCGTCGTGGGGCCGCCGGTGGTGGGCCTTGTTGTAAAGGTAGTCGCCGAAGAAATCGACTGGCATGCCCCGCTCGAGCGCGACCCGAAGGGTGGGAAGCGCCGCGGAGAGCCAAAGGCCGAGCTTTGTTTTGAAGGGTGTGTGGCAGCCACGCTGGCTGTGTGTATTGTGAGCTTGTTTGTGTCTGTGTCAAACGTGCGTGTCGTCATCATCTGTCCAGCGTCCACCCATACCGCGTTGGTGTCCACCCCCCTAGGGGTCCAGGGCTCTCTAGCCCGTAGCCCGATGCCAATCATCCCGCGACCATAGCCCCTCCCGCAGCCGCAGCCGTAGCCGCAGCCCCAACTCTTGCTGCTCTTCTAGTGTCGGGTAGTGACCCGGGCCCCGGGGTGAGGGGATGGAGATCTCATGGATTGTGAAGATCCTTCACACCAAGATCGTGCACAGGGCGGGGACACATGTCTCCCTAAATCCCATCTCGTCTCAGAGTTTGACCGTTTTTATTTATTTATTTATTTAGTTACCGCTGACCGGACAGGTTCCACACCTCTCGGCGAGCGTAAACAGTGAGTCACACCCTCGCAGCACCGCCGCGCGGGCGCGCCTCGAGCTCCTCCGGCCGCGGTATCGACGCGCACCGAAACGACTCCCGCGACCAGCCGCCGCCGGGCAGCGCATCGGGGAAGCAGCTCGAGGCGCACTTGGTGTGGAGGCGCCGCTGGTCGAAGCCGACGCCGGCAGCGGCGCTGCGGTTGGCCTCCTGCAGCTCCCCGCGCGAGGCGCCCGGGGGCGGCTGGTGGCCGTTGAGGAAGTGGGGCATGAGGCCGGGCAGGCCGCGCCGCCGGTAGGGCCTCGAGAAGAAGTCGCCGTTGCGCGCGCCGCACGTGACGGCCGCGGTGCGGTTCGCGTCGCAGCGGAAGAGGTGGGGGTGGCGGCCGCACATGACCCCCTCGTCGGTCGGGCGCAGCGCCTCGCACTCGGCGCGGCGCAGCCAGATGATCTCCGTCCGCGCCTCGCCGTTGACAAAGTCGCGGTTGCCGGGCACCTGCAGCGTGTCGATCCCGTCGAGCCTGGTCGACGGCGCGCCGCAGCTGGCCGGGCGCACCGCGCGCGCGGCCCTCGCGCAGGCGGGCTGCGTCGCGACCGCCGCCGCGAGGCGGGAGGCTGGCCCGGCGCAGCAGCGGCCGAGGAGCTGCGCCTCCTGCAGCAGCCGCTGCGCCGTCGAGACGCGCGGGACGACGAGGGTGCGGCCGAGGTTGATCGACAGGCCCGAGCCGGCGGCGTAGTAGAGGAACATGGCGTGCGTCGTCTCGTCGCGATCGTCCGCCCACGGGCAGTGCGTCACCTCGACCCACGAGCCGTTTGGGAAGGGCCGCTCGGGCCGCGCCGGCCGCACCCACAGCGTGTCGAGCGGAGAGTGCTCGCTCACCGCGTGCGCCCAGTAAAAGGGCTGGCGCGGAGGGCGCGCCGTCTTGTGGCACACGCCCACCCGCGCCACGCTGCGCACCGCCGCGTCGGAGAGCAGGCGCAGGTACACCACCCGCAGCGCGTGCAAGTCCACGCGGCCGGGTGCGCCGTACACCGCGGTCGAGTAGGCGCCCTGGATGTCGTGCAGGGCCGCGGCGGTGACGGTGCGCTGCCGCACGAGCTCCTCGGCCGGGCTGCGCGTTTTGACGAAGGACGCGTAGGCGATCGCGCGGCTGCGGTAGTGACGGTGCGCTGCGATCACGCGAAGGTGGTGGTAGTCGACGTCCGTGTAGTCGCAGGCGGCGCAGAGCGAACAGAAGCTCACGAGCCTCGCGGAGCGAGAGCCCCTGCGCTGCGCGTCCCGGTACACTGTAAAGAAGCGGCAGTCGGCGCGGGCCGAGCAAGCGGCGCGGCAGGCCGCCTCCGACGCGGCAAAGTGGACGAGCATGCCAGTCCACGAGGCGGGGCGGGTCTTGCAGCATGGCTCGGTGGCGTTGGGCAGAGGCAGGAACGAGGACGGAGGAGCCGGGGATTGCGGAGAGGCGCGGCGGCTCGAGCGCTGCATGGAGGAGGAGCGCGGCGGGTGTGTGTCGCCTCACCGGGAGGGAAGCGGTCGCGGCGTGCAGCGGAGCTGAGTCTGCGGTGTGCAGCGGAGCTGAGTCTGCGGCGTGCAGCGGAGCTGAGTCTGCGGCGCGCAGCGGAGCTGCTGGGCGCGGCGTGCAGCGGCAGCTTCGCAAAGAGGCCAAGCTCAGCCGAGATTTTCTTTATATCCGCATGTGAAGAATGTCTATGCCCCGCCAAAGGTGTCGGGTGTCGGCAAAAAAGAATTTGTCGGTCCAGTCGCCGTGTCTCGGCACTCAACATCGGTTCCGCGAACAAACGACCGCATCGGGGTGACGGCATCTCGCCATGCTCTCTCCGCTCGGCCCACGCCGCTCTCCGCTCGGCCCCCGCCGGTCTCCGCTCGGCGAACGCCGCTCTGTTGAAACAGTGGCTAAGAAGTCGTCTCTCGGCAACCGCCGCTCCCGCCAACGCGGCTCGACCGTCACCTCGGAGCTGCTCGAGACAGTGCAGCACGAGCTCCGGGTCGAGAAGGAGCGGCAGGACAAGGAGCTTTGCGCCTGGGGAAGAGGGCTCGACTGGCGCCCGTGGGAGGCGATGGCCCCCGCGTCGGTCGAATGCGGAGTGTTCTCGCTTGACCTCTGAACCGAACCATCGTCCGGCATCTGCTCGTCGTGGTGTGCCGCTGGTTTGTGACAGGACATCGCGCTGCGATGTGACTGATGATGGAGATAGAATGCATGTTGTTGAGTCCAGGCAGTGACTGGTGGTGTCTCAGGATGTGGAGTGAAGATCCATCCCACATGCAAGATCGTGTGTGTGTATATGCGCGGCAGCCGGAAGCTGGGACCCCAGAGGGTCCCGCGAGAGGGACACACCACCAACGCGAATCCGAACAGGTGACGAGAGATGCGCCACCCTTGTGAGCACGCCGGCCACGCCACAGAGACGTTTTCAGACCCGCGACGGCCCGTCTCTCACGAGGACGAACAGGTTGCCCTTGTCACCGCGCGAGACGCGCAGCGTGTCGTCGAGGTAGGTCGTCTCGAGCACGCCCTTGGCCGCGGCGGGTGCAGGTATCCGGAGCCAGCCGATGCCAAAGCGCAAGAACTGCACGTCCACAGTTCGCCCGTCGTCCCGCGGCGTGAGCCTGGCACGAACCATGTTTTTGAGGAGCCCGAGCAGCACCCACTCCTCGTTCTTCGCCGCGAGCTGACGGGCATCGATCGACTGCAAGATCCTCTTGTACCGCGGCCGGAACGGGCGGGGCCGAGTCGTGCCCAGGATGGAGTCGGAAGTGGTGTAGATGAGGCGCCAGCAGCCGGTGAGCAGGTCTGGCGCCTCGAGTGGCTTCGGCGTCGGATTGAGTGGCTCGATCTGCTCAATCGCCTCCAGCACGGAGGGTCGAAACTCGGCGATGCGCCCCATGTCTGCGACGGTGCACGCGTCGATGAGGGCCGCCTTGGCGTCGCCGAGCATTGACTGGTACTCGGACGCCTGTGCTGCCACGGCGCGCAGTGGAGCCGCAGCGGATCGACCGGCGGCGGCGCGAACGGCGAACCCGCTGGCGGTGTGGAGCAGGAGCAGAGGCACACACATGTCGTATCGCGTATCGGAAGCGCCTCCCGCAGTCAGTGTGGGAGAGAAAAATTCTGGCAGCGCAGCACAGCACGACAAGGGTGGGCGACGGCTAGCGCACCACACCCCTCTCCTTAAAATCCCTGTGTGGTGGCGGCGTGCCGTCCTCCCATCCCTCCCTAACCCTGGGTCGTCTGCCTCTTCCTATCTCTCTTCGCACTCAAAGAAAGAAAGAAAGAAAGAAAACGGACAACGCAAGGGAGGGATGGGAGGACGGCACGCCGCCACCACACAGGGATTGTAGGCAGGGGGCTTGCAGAATTCTTTGTGGTGCTAGTTCGTGCCAGTCTGCTAATAAATAAATAAATAGAGCAGTCATCTCCAGGGAGAGATGGGCGACGCACACGAACACAGAGGGACAGTGCGCACCCCGCCCCGCTCGCAGGGCGTGCATCACGCAGGTGGACTGTATGACTCCTCGGGTTTCTGGGACTCAGAGGTGTGCTAGTCGCTATTCTCCGACAATTCCGACATATCTGACGGGCAGTTCGGGCTCGAGCGGTCGCGGTCGCGGCCAGCGCGTGAGGCCTGGCTAGGGTTGCCGGGCAGTCTGCTGTGAGAGGGGCTTGTGTGCGTAGAATTCTTTGTGCAAGAAGATGCGCTCCGCGCACGTAGGAACCCTAATCATCGCCGCGCTGCTCGCCGCGCCCGCGTCCACGAGCCAGTGCGAGGACTACTTTGGCGATATCGAGGACCAGGACGGCACCGTGACGACCGTAGTGGACCCGGACGTCACTGAGGGATGGCCTTTTGCGCGTCTCACCTTCGTTCACCACTCTGGTCCCGGCTCTGCGTGCTTGTCTCCCGCGCCGCCAAAGGGCTGCCACCGCTACTATGTCGCGACGTACACGACGTCCGAGTGTCCCTCCACCTGTCCGCTGATCACCGGCACCGCCGCCAACTTTACGGGCAAGCGCGACTTGGACGGCAGATTTGACCGAGCGAATGGAATCCTGTCTGCCTGCGCCGAGTGCGCAGCCAGTGTGAGCCTCGTGTGCTGGCGCGCGCCAGCGAAGGACCCGCAGCGATGTGCGTGCCCTGGCGCGGCGCCGTCGCGCGGCGGCGGGCTGCTGATGGAGGACCCGGCGCCGCCGGTGCACCTCCAGAGCTTCGAATCCCTCGAGGACACGCTCAAGGACTCGATGAGCGCTCTTGCCGTTCTCGCGGTCGGCATTGCGGGACTCGTTGTTCTGGGCCGATTCGTTCGGCCCGGCAGTCATACAGCTGCCGAGAGGCTCCTCAACAACCAGTTCTAGCTCCTGGCGCATTGCCGTATGCAGACGTGTGTCGGCGTGCGTGCTTTATCTAGGTAAATTTCATAACTTCTCGACAGTATCTAGGTAAATTTCACAATCTAGGTAATTTTCATAACTTCTCGACGTGGAGGTGGGGCCATCATTCACATTTTCCGCCCGGGGCTAGGCCGCCCTAGGGGGTAGGGGCTAGGCTAGGGCTAGGGCGCTCGCGCGCCTCCCCTGCTCTCTACACGGCTCTCTATGATAGAGTCTCTATATGCGTGCGGAGAGCGCTGCGGCGGTCCTCGGCGTACCTCGGCCCTCTTGTGCCCCCCGCCTCTTGGTCTTGCTCTTCGTTATACGGCGTACTAGACCGTGGGTCTTCCGTCCGGTCTTCGCTCCCCCGGCGTGTGTGGGCAGCTGGAGGTCCGCGCGCACCGCGCACCGCGGCTCTCTCTCGAGCGGAGAGAGCGGGGAGACGGGCTGTGAGGCTGTGAGCCCTGTCCGCGCCTCTCTCCGAGCTCGCGCGCGCCTGACACCTAGGAAGCGGGACCGCTGGGCCGTCTGTGGCGACGAAGTGGCAAGTCGCCCCGGGGGGGTCGCGACCTCCGGTTCGCCGTTCCTCAACTCCAACGACCACCCTCTAGCAGTGTACCCACACGATACGTAGATATACGTCTCACGCTAGGTCTCACGAGTGTTAGGAACAGTTATCGTCCTCGTCTCCTCGAGCGTTATTCCCCTATCTATCTCGCGCGCTATTCTCGCGCAGGAGATAGTTCAATCGTAAATATCGTATCTGCGCGAATGTCTGGTAGGTACAACCACAAACCAGCGTTCCATCCCCGTGCTACCACGGGGAGGTCTCTCTCCGCCTATGCCGTGCCGCGTGGACATCCAGGATGCACGCCACCTCGCGTTGATATTTGCAAGACCTGCCAGCTCGAACGATCTCCGGGATGCAGCACTTTTTTGCGCCGCCATCCCTCTTCTTGCACCCGCCCCCACCGCACTTGCCGCATCCTTTTGAGCAGCAGACTGCGCCCTTTGGGTCGGCGATTCCTTTCTCGCACATCCCTTTCGCAGCTGGCTTCTTACTCTCCTCCTCCTTTGCATTGGACGCACTCTGTTCGACGGCTCCACAGAAGGACGGGACGGCAAAGTGGCTCATCTTCCTCGCCCGCTTGTCTGTTAGGTTGCAGCTCGCGTCGTTCGGGTTCCAAGTGTAAAAGGCACAGTTGTGCGTTTCGCTGCACCGCGTTGCGCACTTTGAAGCGGTCGACTCGCGCGTCTGGCCCCACAGGTTACTCAGCAGAAGGCTCCCGCGGCTTGGCTGGAAGCGGCAGGCCCGCTCGGCCGGCACTCCGCACACTGCCTCCTTGGTGACAACCTTGTTCGAGCTCCGCGCCGAAACGTGGCAGCCGTGGTCCTGCCACCAGGACCAGTACGCACACCCGGGCAGCTTGCGACATCGCGCCGCGCACGACTCGGCAGACTTTGCTATCGTGCGTGGCCCCGCCGAGTGCAATGGCTGGTAGCTGCAGCGGGGCTCATGCGGAAAGTCGACGAGATTGGTGAGGTGGCAAGCCACGTCGTCGCGAGAGCGGCACGCCGTCCCAAATTTGTGGGGACAGCAACGCTCGGGGCCGCCCTGTCGCGAAGCGCAGCGGCTTCCCACACCATGCCGGCCCCGGCAAGCACCGCACTCCGCTGCGCAGCACGCCGTTCCGCTCTCGTCCCGAACGCCCCTCCTGCACATGTCCGTCTCGAGAGGCGACAGCTGCTGCACCATCGACTCGTTGCTGAGGCTCTGCAGAAGCGCGGCGGCAAGTGAGAGAATGCTCGCCGACGCGACGGACATATTGCGGGACGGTCGGAAGTTCGGACCATGCGTTTCTCTTCTTGCGTTTGGCCGGGTTCGGGCTCCTGCCGATATGGGGTAGTACCTGTGTGTGTAGGAATTTGTCTCGTTCAGCACCCAGAGAGGCGCTGGAGATTTTTAGAACCAATCAAAGTAGGTAGGTTGGGCTTGTTTAGGTCCTTGCAATAGGAGGTAGGGTACCCCACATCTCGCCTTATCGCTTCGCAGCGCAAGCCCGCTGCCGGCGACCCGATCGGAGAGCTCATAGTCATGGTACAACTCAGCGCGCCGTCGCGCCCTAGACGGCCCGCCCTGGCCCTGCGGACCTTCCCACAGAGCTTGGCGAGGCTGTACAGAATGCCCAGAGCATACTGAGCAGGCTGCCGTCGAGCGACGAGCCATGCTGGCTCGCCGCCGGCTGCGAGCTCGAAGACCCGCGCAGAGCGTCGCCGAGCCATGCGTGCCCGCCCGCTCGCCCGCGGCCGCAGGCGTGGGAGCCAACCATCCTGGCGTCTATGGCAAGCGCTCACACGCCAAAAGGCACCTCCCAGCGCGGCGCAACCACAAACCCCTCATCCGCTACGGAGCCCGAACCCATCGGCCACCAATGGCGATTCCACCCGCGCTGCCCTCACCAAAGCTGCCGCTGCTGCCGCCAGCCTCGTCCTTCGCTGCCTTCATCGCCGCGCAGGCCGAGACGTGCCCTCCGCGCCGCGCTGCCTCCTTCTCCGGAGCCGCGCCGTTTATCGCATACTCTGCAGCCGAGGCGGCGTCCAAGGCGCCGCCGCTCGTGTACCGCGAGAAGGTGCTCTTCGACTGCCTCAGCCCGGGCAACGCGAGCATATCGGTCACACTCGCTTTGCTTCCCGCCGTCGCCGCCGAGCTGGTGCGCGCAAACATCCTGCCGGCGGGGGATTTCTCGAACGCGCCGCCTCCCGAGCCGGAGCCGTTTGACTGGATGCTGATGCTTCAGAACGCCGCGCTCGCGCTCGCGCGCGACCTGCTCTCGAAGGTGACGCAGCAGTTCATCGAGATTCGCGCAAAGCTGCGTGTGCCGCAGTGCGCTCTCCTGCCCGCGCCGGCGCGCCCGTGTCTGCGCCGTGAGTCTGCGCCGTGAGCGGGTCCGCGTCTCCCGCACGGCTGCAGGTGGGTCCACATGGAGCTGATCAAGCACGTGCCCACCTTCAGCGAGTACCTGCACGGTAAGCCTCATCTCTCCATCAAGTCCTCCCTCGCCGGCCGCTGGCGCGCGGCGCGCGGCGTCGCGCTGAGCAAGGTTGCGCCGTCACACCCTCCCCGCTGCCGCCGCACACCCTCCCTCCGCCGTCGCACGCGCGTCGCCACGACCGCCCTCTCCTCGTCCGCCCTCTCCGCCACCCTCCCCGCCTCCACCTACCCCACCTCCGTCTCCGCCTCTGCCGCCACCGCCTCCGCGCTTCCCTGCACAGGTTGCCTACGCCAACAGGACTCTCGGCTTGTTCGTCGCGGACGCGGCGCTCCTCGCCACACGCCAGCCGCACCTCGGCCGCACCTCGGCTGCACCTCGGCCGCGCCTCGGCCGCGCCTCGGCCGCGCCTCGGCCGCGCTTCGGCCGCGCCTCGGCCGCACCTTGGCCGCGCCTCGGCGGAACCTCGGCCGCACCTCTTTCTGCAGTTGCTCGTGGACGGCGCGCGTCTCCTCTTCCCAGCCGACTGCCGCACGCGCCTCGTCTACGTCGCCGGGCCGTAGATGCTGCACCGCAGCGCTGCCCTACCGGCCCGTGTGCTCCTCCCCGCAAGGCCCGGACTCACACCCCCATTCGCCGTGTCCCCCACTCCAGGCGTCGGACGACCCTGCCGTCGCGAGCTTCGTGCGCGACTGTCCGCCCGAGGTGGTCGAGGGCTGTGAGCGGCGCCTCTTCACGAGTGCGGTGGTGTGGGCAGGTGCGCAACTTCAAGCTCAAAGTCGGGAAGCACGCCCTCTCCGGCTGCCTCTCGTGCGCCGCTGCCGCGCGGACGGGACGCCGCTCGTCGGGCACTGCTCACCCCTCCCCTGCCGCACCTGCTGCGCCACAGGTACGTGCTCGGAGTGGTGACGCCGCTACTGCTGCCCACGCCGTGCGGCCTCCTCGCCGGCGCCTGCGCGTGTATGCGGTCCGCGCCTCACGCCCTCCTCGCGCGATCAGGTGCCCCTTCTTCGTCGGCTTCTTGCTCGGGGACGTGGTCGCCGTCTTCGCCGCAGAGGCGGCGGTGGCCAAGTACGGCGAGATCAAATGAAGAGCCGCCCCTCGCAGCAGAGGGAGGGGCGGGGGGGACCGCGGAGAGGCTCGGCTCCGCTCTGCGGCGCGGGCAGCATGGAGAGAGAGGAGGGGGCGAGCGGGGCGGGGCGGGTTCTCGAACTGGAGCCGTCTCTCGCGCGGGGAGGTGGCGCGGCGCCTCGAGGGGCCGGCGGCGGCGGCGGAGAGAGCGGCGCAGCGGCGAGAGGGGCGCGGCCCCGCCGCAGTGCGCGCGGGTGCCTCTGCAATGCGGAGGCCGGAGAGGGACGGGCCCACACCCATGCGCCACGCCGGCCTGGCCGCATGCGCCGGCCTCCGAACTTGTCTGTACTTTTTGTCAGTATCCGGATCATTTTTGGGACTGAACAACTTTGTCAAGCGCAACAACTTCAACCTGCTGCAGAGCGCATCTCTCTCTCTGTTGTGCGAGGCGTGAACCGCGCCATTCGCTCTCTCACCTGGCAACCCTGCGTGTCTGCACGTCTCGCGCGAGCGTGAACAGGGCTCGAGGAACAGGGCGACCGCCCACGCGCCCAAAGCAAACTTTAAACCACCATAAAGATCAGTCTGCAGGGGCGCGGCAGGGGCGACAAGCGGCAGCGGCAGGAGTACGCGGCAGGCGTGCGGACGTGCCGGCTGGAGACGATTCGTGGCGCCAACTGCCTTGGGAGGCGCCCGCCGAGACGTGCGCGACGATCGCGAAGTTTTGCGCGGAGGTGGCTGATTAGAGTCTCCTCCTGAAGAGTGACGCTATTTCGTGCACATGACAGCTGGGACACTCGACTCGTCACGCACACACGTGTTGGTGTTCATGATTCCACGACCAACGCGTGCGAGGAGGACATGCAGCTATTCCTGATGTGGCTGTACGATCTCAGAGGGGATTCGATCGCACGCGTTGCGGCTGGTGCCGACACACTGCTGTGGCTCTCGGAAGCCAACCCAAACGCCGCAAGCGATAAAAGCGGCGAGCAGGATGAAGATGAAGCACCAGGAAATGCGCCGGTAGCAACGGCTCTCTTGCACGTTGATATGCACTTGCTGCTGTGTGGGTACAGCGAGCACCACAGCTGGATCGTGTACAGCGAGGCTTGGAGGCAGAACCTCACCGATCACTCGTGCAAGGCGCTCGTGAGCGTCAGAGGGCGATTTGGTAAGAGTGGATTCGGAATGGCCAAGTTGACCGAAGCGTGAGGTGTCGCCGTACGACGGTGGAGGCACGTCGTCGTCAGAGTCCTCTTTGCTGACTGGTAAGGGCATGTATTCAGCACTGACGGCCGAAGGGCGTGGCAAGATGGGACGCGGAAGCGAAACCTTGTGAACTTCAGTAGTTTTTCTTTATTGCTTGCCGAGGTGGCTGAGCTCAAGTGTGGGATGTGGTGTGTGTTGGATGTGGAGACCACACACTCCAACTAGAAGCGATACTACACACTACATCGGTCTACACAGGGTGTAGGGGTGTCAGGCGCGGAGAGCGCCGGCGCGGCGCGCCGCGGAGAAAATGATGCGCGAAGCACAGGCAGCCAGATGCGATTTCTGTTGAGTTTTGGCTCCGCCCCAAGGCCAGCCGGCGCGCTCCTCCGCGCGCGCAATATCGAGCGCCGGCGCGCTCCGCGGCGCGCGTGAACAGGGCTAGTGCTGCCGCGAGAACGCCAGCCAGGTACGACATGTCTCGTGTAGACTCCTCCTGGGTCATGGTCGGTCATATGCAGGACGGCCAGAGTCGCCCACATCGCCTACGCGGTCCCGAGTGTGGTCAGGCTGATACACCGCGACTCAACGGTTGAGTGCGGCCAGCGCACACAAAAGTCGTCGACTGCGGCCTGGCGCGGTGATCATAGGTGCTGGAGACCAGACAGTATGAGCCTGTAACCTGGGCACGCATGAACTCGGTACCTACATTCGCAGAGGCCCGGCAAGGATGGGATCTAGTAGAGTGATTGCGCACTGAGACCGTGCTCCGTGGGTCGCTGGAATGACCTGAAAGGCATCCTCAGTGCCGCTGCTCGACTCTCCAGTGTCACAGCCGATGCCTGTGACCTGGTCACCGCCGATGCCTGTGACCTGGTCACCGCCGCACGCAGGTTGAGATCCGCGCCTCCTTCCCTTATTTGTTCGCCTGTATTTGCAAATACGTATTTGCAACTGTCTGCACGTCTCGCGCGCGCGTGAACAGGGCGATCGGGCCAAGACTAAGGCTGCCGGCGTCGGCCCCGGCTGCTGCGAGGGCCCTCCCGTTGAGGTGTCCATCTTATGTGCAGTGGGGCTACAACTGAGCGCGTCGGCAGGATCCGCAAAACCGTCGTAAAGCTGTCCTGCGCACCCCGCCCCGCTCGCAGGGCGTGCATCACACAGGTGGACTGTGTGACTCCTCGGGGTTTCTGGGGACTCTTGACAGAGGTGTGAGAGAGAGAGGTGAGAGAGAGAGTTTGTTGTTTGTGGTGTGCGATTCCTACCACTTGGAGCACCCGGGTGTTTTCTCCTTTTTTTGGGCTGCAGCACAAACGTCCTGGCGAGTAGAGACCACGCCTGCTATTCACAGCACAAGCCCTCGCCGAGGGCTCGAGCATGCATGCGCAGTGAAAAGCACGGACCCCGGTGAAAAGTCAGGCGTAGCTCGACATGCCCAGCGCCCCCGCCGGGCTCCCGCTCGGCAGCGTGGTCTTCCCTGGCGACCGCGTCGCGCGCGTCGCCGACTTCGAGCGCGTGCTGCTCGGCTCCGGCGTCCGGCGCGAGGGGCCGCTCCTCGTGTCGACGAGGGCCGGCGTGCTCGGCTGGGACACCGAGTCGTCGCGGCTGTGGGTCGAGGCGGAGCAGCGGCGGTACGTTCCCGTGCTGGGCGATCATGTGATTGGCGTCGTCGCTGAGAAGCACGCCGACGAGTACCGCGTCGACCTCGGCGCCGCCGCGCCAGCCACGCTGCCCGTGCTCAGCTTTGACGGCGCGACCAAGCGCAACCGGCCGCACCTCGCGGTGGGCGCGTTGGTGTACGCGCGCGTGGTGGTAGCCAACAAGGACATGGATCCGGAGATCAGCTGCGCTGCGCCGCCCGGCGTCTCGTCCCGCGACTGGGTGACGCGCGAGTCGCTCTTCGGCGAGCTGCTGGGCGGATACTCGTTCGACTGCCCGAGCGGGCTATGCCGCGCGATGGCGGCGGACGCGCCCTGCCCGCTGCTGGAGGCGCTCGGCGCCGTGGCCGCCTTCGAGGTGGCGGTCGGCGTCAACGGCCGCGTCTGGGTCGACGCGGCGCAGGCCTCAATGCTCATCCTCTCGCAGCAGGCGATGCTGCTCTGCCACACGCACCCGCCCGAGTCGCACCAGAGGCTCGTGCAGACGCTGGCGGGAGGGAGTGACGGCTACCGCGGCGAGGGAGGGTGAACCGGGACCGTACATGGAGGCGCGCGAGACAGCGAGAGACAGCGAGAGAGAGCGAGAGGTGCAGCTGACGCAGAGAGAGCCCGGCGCCATCGCGCGGATTCGTGAACGAGTTGCAAAATCGAAAGCGAACGTATGCGGTTTGGTGTTTTGGTGAGACACACTGGATACAGTCTGTTGACATACCCGCCAATGACTCGTGGGTGAGGTCTTTCGAGTCTCTCGTCGACACGGCGCCGGGGGGCTCCGATTCTCCGAAGGCCATGTCGAGAGGGGTGCGCAACGACACCGACACACCGTGCGGGGACCGGGGCCCCGGGCGGAGTCGTATATGGTTGGCCGCGGGGCTGAAAGCGCGCAGCGAGCCAGGCGCTACCTGTCTGGTGACGGCGAGCGCCGGTCATCCTCGTCGCTCTCGTCACCGGTCGCGCTGTCGCTGAAGTCGCCGTCCTGCCCTTCGCGCAGCCGCGTGAGCATCTCGTCGAGGGCGAGGATCTGGAGCAGCAGCCCGTGCGGGCCCTCGTCGTACGTCCGGAGCCTGCGGCCACGGGTCGTTGGGAGGGGCCGAAGCGTGGCTGCGTGCCGCATCGAGTCGGCTTTCAGCGAGGGCCGAGATGGATGCCGAGCGGGAGACTGGGGCGTGGGTGAGGGGAGAGGCGACGTGTCGAGGAGGAGGGGAGTGCCGCGTCACAGGGGCGTGGCTTGTCCCCAACATGCCGCCGCACCTGCCTCGCCGGCCCGACTCGAACGAGTCCCAGAACGCCTCCGCCTCCGCCTCCCGCCGGACGCCCAGCTCAGGGTATGCGGCGAGGGACGCGTACAGCGGCGCGGAGGAGCCGAGCGGGCCGCGCCGCAGCGGTCGGCCGTGCTCGTCGTACCCGTGCAGCGCCAGCCTGAGGAACAGAGGACCGAGACGGCTCGTTGGGACGGACTCCGCCGAGCGCGCGCGACTCAGCACGCCGCGCGAGCCCGTGCAGCGCGTAGAGCCGCCGCTGCTGCTCTCGCTTGGCCGCGTTCATCGACGCGAGCATGAAGAGCATCATCGCCTAATTAACTAACGAACATAATTAACATGAACCAGTTCATTCGACGCGAGCACGAAGCGCATCATCGCCAGCGAGAGGAAGCGCATCGACAGCATCGACAGCGCGGCGCGCGAGCGGAACATGAAGGCGACGTAGAAGGAGAGCTTCAGCGCCGCCTCCTCCAGCCGCGTGTACCGAGGGTCCACCCATCCGTACTCGCCTGGGGGACGTGTCACGGACATGTCGCGGGCATGTCACCGACATGTCATGGGAGATCGCCGATAGCCGTACTCGCCTCCGCTCGCGCCGGGCGGAAGCCGCAGGATCTCGGTCGCCTTAGGGCCAGGGCCAGGGGTGAGGTTAGGGTCAGGGTTGGGGTTGGGGTCAGGGCAAGGGTTAGGGTTAGGGTCAGGGACAGGGGTAAGGTCAGGGCCAGGGTCAGGGGTAGGGAAAGGTCAGGGGTAGAGCGGCAGGGGGTTGGGCACCCGCAGGATCTCGGGTCGCCTGAGCGGCTCGTGTTGTGCGGCTCGTGTTGTCTCGTGTTGTCTCGTATTGTCTCGTGTTGTCTCGTGTTATCTCAGTCTATCTGGTGTGCTCTCGGCACCCTCCTCGCCTTGCGCGAGAAGTGCAGCGCGTGCGACTCGGACAGCAGGCCCGAGCAGCGCGGGGCGACGAGCACCTGTTCGCGGCAGGAGCCGTGAACACCTCCCCTATTAATTATTAACTATTAATGATCGCGGGGCGACGAGCACCTGTCCGCAGCAGGAGCCGTGAACAGCGCCGTCAACAGCGGCGCGGGCTGCGGCGAGCAGCGGTGGGGGAGGAGCGCCTCCGCCACGGAGGGCGAGAGCAGGAGCAGCGAGGTCAGCTCCCACGAGCGGGGGGAGCGGTGCAGCCAGGAGCGCAGCAGGTGCGAGCCGTAGGCGTGGCGGGAGGGGGCGGCGGCGGGCAGCGCCGGCGCGACGAGGACGGCGAGGCGGCAGGCGGAGATGCGAGCGAGGAGCGTGAGGTTGGCCTGGGAGGGGGGGGGGGGTGCGGGCTGTGGGGGGGCGGAGGAGAGAGGGCGAGAGGAGGGCAGCGCCGAAGAGGGAGAGCCGAGAGGGCGGCGAGAGCCGAGAGAGCCGAGAGACGTGCGCGCAGGAGAGGTGGGGAGGCGCAGGCACAGGGCGGCAGAGAGGGGGCTCACTTGCAGCTCGCGCCGCGCTTGCGGGCCGAGCTTGTGCGCCCCGTCCGAGACCCACTCCCCCTTCTCGAACTGCGGCCGAGGCGCGTCCTGCAGCGAGAACGCGGTGCAGAGGGCGGCGGTGTGCGGCGGTGTGTGGTGGTGTGTGGCGGTGTGCGGCGGTGTGTGGCGGTGTGCGGCGGTGTGTGGCGGAAGAACGGGCGGTGTGTTGGGGCGGAGGCGGCAAGAGACAGAGAGGGCGGAGAAGCGGAGGGGCGGAGGGGCGGAGGGGTGAGGGCGCTTGTGAGGGCGCTTGTGACCTCGATGACCCACGTGCGAGATCCGCCGCCCGGTAGCGTCTCGACGACATCGCGCACACCGCCCGGCACGACCCGCCAGATGCGGCTCGCGTTGCGAGAGCCACTCTGCCGCGCCGCTGCCGCCACGTCCGCTGCCGCGTCTGCCGCGCGCAGGAAGGCCTGTGGAGAGACAAGTCGCGGAAGCGTCGTGGACGTGTCCAGGAAAGGCCTGCCGCGTGCGCAAGGGACGCCTCGTCGTCTGCGTCGTCGCGGCGCGGTGCGGAGGCGTTGGCAGAGGAGCCGGTCCCGCCAACCGGCACCGCAGCCGGGGAGCTGATGCGCGCCGTGCTGGCGTTGGCGGGACCGGGCTCCGCCTTTGCTAATGCGGCGGCTGCAGCGGGCGCAGTGGCGGCGGCGGTGGAGGCGGCAGCGGAGGCGGAGGCGGACGCGGCGGACGCGGCGGATGCGCTGAGCTTGTCCTCCGGGCCTCTGCTCTCGCCCTCTGCGTCCTCCTCGACCGCTGCACCGCCCAGTGACGACACTGCCGCGGACACGCGATGGCGCGGGTGGTGCCGCCACACCGTCGAGTGGTTGATGCCTGGCTCGTCGAATGGGCCCGCCGCGTCGATGACGCGAATGAATGGGTCATCGTGCGGCACGTGGGGCAGGTGCTCGCGAGAGCGAGTGGTGTAGTGGTACCTGGGGCCAGGCGAGAGGAGGTCGGCATGAAGGACTGTGCGTGCTGGTGTGCGCGGGCGAGCAGCTCACTCGTAGTAGAGAGGCAGCAGCGAAGCGAGGCAGCCGAGGGCAAACAACTTGTTCAGCAGCGAGCCGGGCGCCTTTTTCTTGCGACGCGAGGAGCCGGAGGCAGCCATGATGAGCGCCCGGCGAGAGCCGCTGAGAGTTTGGAAAAAGAAATCTGCTTTCCTGACGAAGAAAGAAGCAAATTGCGACAGCCACAGCTTCCCCTTTACAGCCTTTCGAGTTCGCGAACTGGCGAACTGGTTGGTGAACTGGTTCGGTGAACTTGAGCACTTGAGCACTGGATAGGGTCGATTCCGCATGGTACGGGACCCCTCGATCGTCTCACCCTCCCTCGCTGGTGTGCTCATGGGGGGGGGGTCATAACAAACACGGTCCAGGATCGAGGTGCACGCCGCCGAGGGACCTCGGAGGGTAGATCGGGCGGTGTCGTCCCCCCTCTCCATCATCTCCGCGGAGATGTCGTCGGTGGTGGCGGTTGTGACCGATCGAGCTACAAGAGGAGCTTGTTCAGCAGGATCTCTCTGACATTGGGTTAGTCTGGCGCACTACCTCACTGGGCCTGAGACCGCCGAGACGCTTCCCTTCACCGTCTCGGGTTTATGTGGAGTCGAACCACTCCGGGATGGGCAAGCCCATCAAGTCATTTTCGTCAAAGTAGAGCTCGAGCAAGATGTTCAGCCGCCCGCACGTCGTCCCCCGCACGCTGCCGGATCCAATATTGGTTGGGGACCCGTAGCATCATCCAATATTGGTGCCGGCCCGACGCATGTACCGCCATACAGCTGTATGCGGCCCTGGGATGACACGTCTCAAAGCGCCGAGTGCGACATCGGCGGAGCAACGTGCTGAGCACATCGGGAGAAACCCAGAAAGGCCCGCGCAAGAAGACGAGGCGCGGCCGTCCAATGACCATCGCGGCAAAGGGGACTCAAAGGATGCCACTGCTGTCTCCACGCTCGGTGGCCAATCCCAGCAGTGCACCAACCTTCCGCCAGCCGCGAGGCTGTAAGCGGCCACATTGATCTGGCTGACCACGTGGTGAGCCCCCATCCCTAGCAGGTGAGACTGTTGTCCACGTACTTCAGCCGCCCCACCGCCGCGCGACCTCCCCGCGGCGATGCCCACCTTGCCCTCGTATTTGTCGAAGAGCAGCAGCGCCGAGTCTGAGCAGCTGTACATCTTATCCTGAGCGCAGGCGGGCTCGGGCATTGCGCGTGGTAAGGGGCAGGGGAAAGAGAGGGGGGAGGGGGGGGGGGGGGGCTCAGCCAGCTTTAAATATACTGATATTAATAATAATCATTATTTGAAGAGGAGCATCGTTCTCGGTTAATTGTCAAAATTCATTGCCCGGCCGTTCATTAAGTCCATCTCGATTTTGGTTGTTAATTGTCAAAATTCCGTGCAAAAAGCATCAATTAATAATAGTAAGGAAGACATGATGCCCGGCCGTTCAAGAGGTCCGTCTCGATTCTCGTTTTTTCCCCACAGACCACTCGGGCAACTTTTACGAAAGGCAAAGTTTTACTCGACCACTCGGGCAGATTCGATTGCATTTTACCACTCGGGCAAACTCGATGAAACGGGCGGACGGAAACGCGTTTGCGACGGCTCGCCGGAGAGCATGCATGAAGCGGCCGGTGCGCCGCCGCAGCTCACCGATGGAGCCTGCGTCGCGGCTCAATCCACTGACGTAGCAGCACTGCGACACACTCTCCAAGCACGGCCTCTGGCGTTGCGATTGCACAGAGAGCGAGCAATAGGCGCCAAAAGCACAGATCTGTGTGCAGTGGATTTCCATGTAGGTCGCGCGCCCAGCGAGCGGACAACCGCGGGTCTCGGATGCTCTCCCGGACGCGAGCCCATCGTGCGAGTGGCGGACCCGGAGGCGGCCGGCCCAGCTCACCCCCAGAGAGGCCATGGCCAGGGTCAGGCATAAAAGGGGGGTGTTTTTCCGTCCGTCCGCAATCCTCCACGGTGAACTCGCGGTTCGTTCGGTTTCGGAGTTCGCTCTGGACGGCATCCCCTTGGTTCGCTGCATCGGTTCGGTCGTTCGCCCTTGGGTGCCCGAACCCTCGAACTAGTTCGTGAAGTCGAGCCTTTTCTTTTCTCTCCCCCCCCCCCCCCAACCCGCTTCACACCCGCAGGAACAAACAAACCCACCATGCAGAGCGCATCTCTCTCTCTGTTGTGCGAGGCGTGAACCGCGCCATTCGCTCTCACCTGGCAACCCTGTCTGCACGTCTCGCGCGCGCGTGAACAGGGCAGATGTCCCACCATGCAGAGCGCATCTCTCTCTCTGTTGTGCGAGCGAGGCGTGAACCGCGCCATTCGCTCTCACCTGGCAACCCTGTCTGCACGTCTCGCGCGCGCGTGAACAGGGCGTCTGCTAGGGCTCCGCATGGTACGGAAGACCCCTCGATCGTCTTTACTGTGATACTGCTAGCACGCGCCAGTTCGCACCTTCTCTGCTGTGAGAGAGAGTTGTTTTGTTGAAATTCTTTGCTGTGCTGTGAGAGAGGCTTGTATTTTAAGAAAGAATTCTTTACCTTTGCTTGTTCCGCACTGTGCTGTGAACAGAGCACCATCCAACAGCTCACAGGACCCCCCGGTGCTGGGGTGCCGCTGCCAGCAACCAACCAACTCACCGGCGAGACAAACTGTCTGCACGTCTCGCGCGCGCGTGAACAGGGCATTGCCTGGCCCTATCGCCAAACGGCCCTGCTCCTCCTCTTGTCTGGCGTCAATCGCAAACTGCGGCACAGGCCGCGTTGGCGCAGAGGAGGCGGCAAGCCTCAACGCGCCTACCCGTGGCATACCGCCGGATCGGGCCAAGACTAAGGCTGCAGGCGTCGGCCCCGGCTGCTGCGAGGGCCCTCCCGGTGAGGTGTCCATCTTATGTGCAGTGGGGCTACAACTGTAGCGCGTCGGCAGGATCCGCAAAACCGTCGTAAACCCCCCAAAATTGAATTCGACCGCGCAAAGCTGTCCCCCCCCCCCCCCCCCCAAAACTTTATATCACCATAAACATCATTGTGCAGGGAAAAAGAATGCGCACCTTATCCCTCTCCTTGTAACTTCACCTCGCGCGCCGTGTTAAGTCCCTGCTACCGCCCCCCCCCCCCCCCCTGTGCATGTCATGTGCAGGCTCCAAACAATAGAAACGTGTTTGAGATCTCGACAGCTCAAGCAGCTGTCTCTGGCAGCACGTCTCGCGCGCGCGTGAACAGGGCTCGCGCACGCGTGAACAACGCGCTCGCAGACAGTCGGCAGACCTGGACGACGAGTGCTTTTAGTTATTGTTGTTTATGTAACCGAATGCACCATCAGGCCTCGCTCACGGACACAGCACACACTCGCCCAGGCCATACTCTGCCCAAATGCAAGTGCGCGATCCCAAGCGCTACTGACAAGCGTCTCGCGCGCGTGAACAGGGCCCCGCTCACGCGCGTGAACAGGACATCGTGACAGTGCTATCTCACTCATCATAGCTGCGTGACGGCCCCGCCTGCTGCCGCTGACGCTCTCGCGCGCGGGCGCGCGAAATCGCAAATTCTTCCATCTTGAGGTGGTGCGCGTTGTGCTTCTCGATCCACTCACGCGCAGACCTCAGGCGCTCCTCCGGCACGTCCTTCCCGTATTTGTCTGCAAATAGGATCGCCACCTTTGGATGCAGCCCCAGCGCCACATACGATGGGTCAAAAAAGCGGCCGTTGGCGTTGTTCAGGACCGTGATGCCTACCGCACCCTCTAGACCCGCCAAGTTGGTACCGCAAGGTGGCGGAGGAAAGGCAGCACGTGTCAGAAGACTGAAGGCAGCATCGTGGCACCAAAAGAACTCAAGGCGGAAGACGAGCTTCTTGGCGGCCTGCCCGGTGAGCGCGTGGCCGGTGCTCAGCATCGCGTACTTGACAGGCCACTGCACCCAGCGCAGCACCTCTCCGTTGATGACGACGCTCTCGTAAAACAGCGGCGGGATGACAGCCTGCGGGTAATCGATCGCGCCCTCTTCCACGTACTCTGGGCACTCCACCACAAGCGCTTCGTACATCTCACCGCCAATAGGGTGCGGCCACGGCACGGTGCCAATGGGGTGAATCCGCGTGCCCGGCTTAAGGTAGCCGTGCTGCTTGCCCTTGCCGACCGGGATTTTCACCGCCGTGTTCTCGCCGTGGGGCGTGAACATCTTTGCACACATCATCGTGCCCACCTTGAGAGGGTACCCAACCTTCCACTGCAGATTAAGCGCGACGGCGCCAGCGACGAACTGGCGTCCGCCAGACAGGTCGCCCGACGGCCCGTCCCAGTCTTGTGCGCCGACAGGTATCGGCACCCCGTTCTCATCTACCTTGGTGGCGTAGTGGGAGTGAACAACGCCAGCCCCATCGATAGTGGACCAGCGTTCCTCGACTCGGTACTTTGCGACGTGCTCTCGCGTCGCAAACTCCTCGAGGCTCTTGTTGAGGAGAAACCCGAACTTTGTCGTCTCATACCAGTCGGGACGCCCAGACACCTCGTCGAAGAAGCGAGTGCCCACGTCCTGCAGCCGCGCAAAGAGCTCACGCGTGTAAACATTGTCGGTATCGCCACGGTGCATTAGGTCCATGCAGCGATGCCACAGCGCGTTTGCATCCTGATCTGCGGGCCGTCGATTCTCATCATACGGCGCAAATGCCACGCGGTGCGTGCCCGAGAGGTGGTGGTCCTCGAAGTTGGCCTCCTGTCCGCTGCGTGCCTGCAGGTGCGCCCCGCACACGTACTCCACCTTAACCAGCTCCTCGCTACCGAAACCGCGAAGCCCCTCTTGTCGCGCACTTGGCATGATGACAACGAACTTGCTGCGCAAAGAGCAGTAGCGAAGCACCGTCCCCTCTTCAGGCGAGCGGCCGTCGTCACCAAAATGGCGAGGTGAGACCGTGACAGGCTGACCCGGGTAGAACTTCTGCGTAGACTGCGACTCGAAGCAGAGCGACTCCTTGGCTTGCCCGCCGCCAGCCATAACACCACCCGGGAGCAGACCGACGTTGTTGACGTTGCGAGAGGTGTGCCCAAGGCCAAGCCACGAGATTTCGTGTACTAACTATACTACAACCACTACAATCGCTACTCCTGGTACTGCTCCGTCCACCAGACGGCCACGCTCCTTGCACCCCCTAGTGCACCCCACGACCCCGTAAAGGAGGGAAAAGAAAGAAAGAAAGAAAACAGAGCACCCAAGGGAGGGAGAGGACGGCACGCCGCCACCACACAGGGATTTTAAGGAGAGGGGTGTGGTGCGCTAGCCGTCGCCCACCCTTGGGCGTCCGCCTCTTCCTTCTATCGGTGTAAGGCGGGCGGAACAATAAAATTCTTTTGCACAACACGCCCGACTGACCTCGCCACTTGACCGAGCTGTGCAAGTCGGTGACATTCATGCGCCCGTTTCTCCTCTTCCTCGCGCTGATTGCCACGCCGGCGTTCGCGAAGATGGGCCTCGGCGTCGACGTGTGCGACATGAGCCCAGTGCAGTCGTGGCTGTCGGCCTCGGGACTCGCAGCGCCTGCGGAACTGCCCGAGCTGAAGGAGGTGATGTTTTCGGGCAACGAGGACATATGCGGCAAGAGCTTCGTCGGCAACAAGCTCTTTGGTTCCGCTCCGGACGTCTCGTGGGGTGGTCGTCTGGACAGTATCCCGCTCGCGCATCACTTGAAGCACACTGTCGTGCTCTTGGACATCGACGCCGAGGACGGGCCGTATCTGCACATGCTCGTCACCGACGCCCGCAAAGGCGTCGGCTCTGTGGCTGGGCAGCCCGCCATCCGCTGCACTACCGACATACTCACGCGCCTCGGCCGCGCCGGTCCCGCAGGCAACGTGTGGCGCGGCAGCACGATGGCGATGAACTACCAGCCGCCACGCGCGACGCGCGAGGCGCACAGGTACGTCTTCCTGCTGCTCCAGCAGCAGCAGGGTCACACGGTGCTACAGCTTCCACGAGGCGAGAGCCGGCACTCGGACCGCGAGGTGCTGCGTACCCGTAGCCTTCTTTGCGTGCCACTCCACTCTCAGTCTCACACTCTCACTCCCTTCGCTCGCGCCGCCAAACCCGCATGATGGCATGAACGAGGGAAAGCATGAACGAAAGACACTCGCAAGTCGCCTCGCGAGCGCTGTGTCGCCTGTGCGTGGTCGCTTGCCTTGCAGGCGTGGTCGCTCGAGCGCTTCCTGGCACACAACGGCGGGCGGCTCACCCTGGCGGCAGCCTCCTGGTTCTCCTACAAAGGCAAAGACAAGACCGAGCTCTAAGAGGGTGAGATGGGAGGAGCGCGAGCGCGAGCGCTGGCTTGCGTCTCGGGGACGACCAGAGAGCGGCGCGAGTAGCGTGCGCGCACGGCCACGGGGCTGACTGACTTTTCTGTCTGTGAGTTCTGTGAGGTCTATACCTAGCTCCTAGGGCAAGGCCCCCGCCGCTCACACGGACGGACAGCAGTGGGCTTTTTGGGCGGAACGCGCGCCACCATCCATGGTGTGCCGCGCAGCGCACATACCCCCGCTTGAGCCCAATCCAGCGGTGTGGCGGCGTGAACGAGCAGAGCACGTGTGGGGCCGCGACGCCCGGCACACATGGACCAAGAGGAGATCGCTCGCAAGATCAAGCGAGCCAAGGAGCTCGCGGAGCGGCTTTCGGGTAAGCTCGGTGCAGTGCCGCAAGCACCTCCGCAGCAGGCGCCGCCGCCGCCGCCGCTCCCGCCGCCGCCGCCGCCGCCGCCGCCGCAGATCGGCGGCATGAGCTTCGCGCCGCCACCAGCCTCGGCGCTCGCAGACTCCTTTCTCGCGTCGCTCGGCGCACCACCCGTGTCATCGGCTGGCGGCGGCGATGCCGGCGGCAGCAGCCTCGTTCCCTCGCTCGGCACCGCAACCGGCCCATCGCTCGCTGCCGCGCAGGCCGCGGCGGCGGCCATCTCCGCCAGCCTGAGCGCGCGCGCCGGCACCGGCGCGAGGACCGGGTGGGATGTGCAGCCCTCCGCTCTCGACACCGCCCTGGCATTTGCCGACTCGCTCCAGACGTCGGCGCCTCCGCGTCTGCCGGCGCCGCGCCACCCGGCACCTGTGCACCGGACGCTGGACGAGCTGCTCCAGCGCGACCGCGACCGCATCGCCGCCGCCGACGCGCGCAACCTCGCCTACGTCCTCGAGGAGGAGAGGCGCAAGAAGGAGCGCGCGCGCGCGGCGGCCGCCGCCGCCAAGGAGCAGGCCGCGGCGGCGGAGAGCGCGGCGGCGAGCGCTGCGGCGGCCAACGCGGCGGCGAGCAGGCGCACGGGCGTGCAGCAGCGCGGCAACGCGCACCCGGGCGCCTGCTCCGTGTACGTTACCGGCGTGCCCCCCGACGCAACCGGTGCAGCCTGGAGGAGGAGGAGGGGGGGGGGATGGAAGGGTGTGGTCTCTTCACGGCGCGGCGGTGTGAAGCGCAGGCCCGGAGCTGGAGGAGCACTTCAGCGTCATCTCGCCGGTCGCGCGCGTCAAGATGTACCGCCACCCGACGACGAACGAGCCGAAGGGCGACGCTCTCGTCACGTACACAAAGGCGCCACCGCCCAGACGCCGCCGCACTCCAAGCCTTGCACACACCGACGTGACGGGCCCACACTCGCTTCCCTCACCACTCGCCCGCCAGACGGCCTGGGCGAGCCTCCCCAGCCGCCCTCCCCAGCCGCCCTCTCCGCCCCCACCCCCTCTCTCCGTCCCTCTGCTCCCGCCGGCGCACCTCGACCCCCCCCCCCACCCCCCGTCGCGGTGCCCTTTGCGCAGGACGCCGCCGTCATGGGCGCCGTCCAGCTGCTGCACCGAAAGATGCTCCGGCCTGGCATCGCCCTCTGCGTCTCCAAGGCGGTGTTTGGCGGCGCGCCCGCGGCTGCCGACGCGCCCGCCGCGCCGCCGCCGCCTCCGCCGCCGCCGCCGCCGCCGCCGACGGCTGCGCAGCGAGACCAGTTCGCGCGAGAGCAGGCCCGGCTCGGCCTGTCGGGAGGAGGAGGAGGAGGTGGGGGAGGGGGAGGGGGAGGGTTGGTCTCGCTGGCGGCGGAGGACGACTCCCTGCGCGTGGTCGTGGTGACGGGGCTGGCCGACGCGTCGGAGGTGCCGGTGGCGGAGCGCGCGGCGTGGGAGGGCGAGCTGACGGATGAGTTGTGGGGCGAGATCTAGCCGAGATCTAGCCGAGATCTGGCCGAGATGTGGCCGAGATGTAGCTGACGGGTGAGATGTAGCTGACGGCAGAGGAGGGGGAGAGGCGGCGGCGAGTCCGGGACGCGGGTGGCTGCGAGTAGGCGAGTGCTGCCGGCACGGCGAGGTGGAGCGGATCGGAGTCTACGCGGGGCACGGGGGCGGGGGCGGGCTTGGCTACGGGCGCGGCGACGGAGGTCTGCACGAGCTCGAGACGCGGGCCGCGGTCCGCTTCCAGTCGCTCGAGGCGGCCGCGGCGGCGCTGGACGCGCTCGACGGCCGCCACTTCGACACGCGGCCGCTGCGGGCGGCTTTCGACGACGGCACCTACGCGGCGCGGCTGGACGGGTCGGAAGACACCGAGCGGCAGACGCGCTTCGGCTTTGGAGACGCGGCGGCCGCGTACCAAGACTCGCTGCGTGTGCTGCGGCTCGCGGCGGCAGAGGGCGAGCCGAGTCGAGTGTGTGAGCCGAGCCCACCCGGCGCCGAGGTCGGAGCGGAGGCTGGCCCGAGGGTAGGCGCGCCGAGCATCGTCTGCGACCGCCCGCTCGGCACGCTGCCGCACTACGACTACCTCCGCCCCGAGGCGGCGCCGGACGGCGTGGCGGCACCCAGCAGCAGCAGGAGCTGGCTCCATGAGGCCGCCGGCGTTGCACACACAGCCGCCACCGTTCGGCAATAGGGCTACTACCGGCGGCACGACGCCCCGCCCCCGTCGCCGCTCGACGTGTCGCGCGCCATACTGCAGCGCGCGTCGGACGCGGGCGCGCCGTTTGTGACGTGCGCCGAGTTTGTCGGCCCCGTGCCGCACTACGATTGGCGGCCCGACGGCCCCGACGGTGCGGGCTACTACCGGCACCACTTTCGCTCGCCTGCTCTATCTTGCAGCTAGTCTTTCCTTTTATGATCTGCTACTCTCTCTCACTGTAGGCACGCCGGGGCGCCCGTGGCGTCCGATCCGCGGGAGGCGCCCCCCTCGCCCCGCACCTCGCCCCGCACCTCGCCCCGCACCTCGTCCCGCACCTCGCCCTCGCCCACCCTCCCGCCCCTCGCCCTTCCCGCCCTTCGCCCCTCCCTCCGTCGCATTTCCCCTCGCCCCTCCGAGCCCCTCGCCCCACTTTCAACGCCCCCCCCCTCTCGCGCCTTAGGCATCCCTCGGAGTGCTGCGCGAGGCGGCGGCGGCGGGCGCCGAGTTTGTGCTCTGCCCGGAGCACGTGGGCGACGTGGCGGGGTACGATTTTCGCGGCGGCCCCGACGGGACCGGCTACTACCGCCGGCCGGACGCGCCGCCGCCGGACGGGCGCGAGTACTCGCGCATGGTGCTGCAGCGGGCGAGCGCGGCGGGCGCCGAGTTTGTCGCGTGCCCGGAGCGCGTGATGGACCTGCCCGGCTACGAGTTCCGGCTGGTTGGGTCGGAGGGCGTGGGCTACTACAAGGCGGAGGCGGAGGCGGAGGATGCGCCGGACTACAACGACTTTATGGCGACGATGAAGGAGCTGGGCGCGGTGAGCTAGCGCCGCCGACACATGGACTTCACCGCACTCTCGCTCGCGTGTTGTGTTACGGCTAAAAATACGCGCGCTAACAGCCTCTAGCCGCGCTGAATTCCCATTTTATAAAACATTCGCGTTCCGGCGACCGCTGGCTTGAAGTATGATCTTGAGGTTGAGCAGACAGACACCGGCACACTGTGAAGGCACACAGGCCACAGCTCTCCACTCTGGCGCCACTTTGTGTGGCAGACTCGAGCTGAGACCTGAGAGAGAGAGTGTCTTGTGAGCTTGTGTGTTGTCGGTCTGTGTGTGTGTGTGTGTCGCTCGAGCGTGTCGTGTCTTCTTTCTGTCTCGCGTCCACCCATACCGCGTTTCGCCTTGGCCTTCCTATCTATCTTTCTAGTAAGACGAGCGCCGGCAGAGGCCCTCGCGGTCTGGTCTGAGAGAGAGCGTCGAGTTGAGCACTTGGAGCACTGAGCTCTAGTGTTTTTGTTTTTCAGTTTGGCCCCGCCCGCAAGCGGCGTTGTCACGGGGGCGGGCTCCTAAAGGTTGGCCGTGAGGCGCCCGAGGTTTGCGGGCGCGTGCGGAGGGCGGCGCCGGGCTCCCAGGGACCGGGGGTCCCGCGCCGGTGCCGCCGCCACCGGGGCCCCGCCACGCACGCCGTCCGTGGAGCGGCGCCCCGGTGTGCCCCTACCGGCAGTGCACGCGTCCGCGCTCAGAGGCGCTAGTTGCGCGTCCGCGAGAGGCTGGTTGACTCTCTCGCCCGCTGGGGATGCGGTTCACGGATCACGGGGCTTGCGTTGGGGTCCCCATCGTCCCCGTGGCGGCGAGCGCTCGCTCTGGAGGCCGAGTTGAGCCTCGAGCGCCTCCCTCTCCTTGTGCGCATCTTGTCTCCTTTTCCATGAGTTGCATCACCATCGCTCGCAGCTCGGCCAGCTCGGCCAGGGTGGCGGCGAGTACTTGCGGTGTGACGCCTGCGTAGCTCGCGTAGCCATTACGTCGGGCCAGTGGGGCGTTGTCCAAGTGACCCGACGTGTCCTCAGGGTTGTTTGGTATCCTTGGCAGAGCCTTCGTCACCGGGCCCGGCGCAAACACTCCCCCGCGACAGCGTGCCAAAGGATAAACCCGAAAACTATAAGTGGTGTCTCGTCTGGCGCGAGGCGATTCGTTTCGCAGTCAGCCAGGAGGGTTCTCAACTCTGAAAACAAAAGAGGAGAAAGCAACTCGAGAATTTGAGCAGAGTGTTGTCCAGTGTGGCAGTCTGTGAGAGTAACCAGTGTCCCAGGTTAGGTTAGGTAGGAAGGTGAAGAACAGTCAGGCTCGGACTGGACACCAGCGCGGTATGGGTGGACGCTGGACAGAAGAGGACGGCACGCGCGAGCGACACACAGACACACACAAGCTCACAAGACACTCAGTGTCCCAGTGTGAGTGAGTATTCTTGATAGTTACGAAACCACGACGACACACACCAGTCGACTCGCATCGGTGCCTCCATGAACGGCGGAGCTATTCTCGCGTCCACACCACACCTGGCTCCAACGTGGACACGCCCATAAGCTGGGGACACTACTAGGTCACGCATGGCATCAGAAGTTTTATCTCTGGGCCCCGAAAGGCATCTCTAGCAGCGTCGTTACGCATGCGCCCTCCCCTCCTGGGCGCAAGCGCCTCACATCTCGAAAGAGAGCGTAAGCTCTTGGTGAGAGAGAGATTTTTAGCAATACCTTAAAGAGGTTACAGGCGGATAAGGTCCGTTGGCGGGAGATCGGCGGGAGCGGCGCACGTTTCGAATTCGGCGGGCGTTTCGAATTTGTCGACGGACCGTTTCAGGTCTCTGCGCTCCCGTATGAGCGAGGCTGCCGACGCTGCCATGATTGAGGCTGCCGACGCCGACGGGCAATACCAAACAACTCTAACACTCAATGTTGCTTGCTCTGTGGTCCCCCCCCCTCGGCCCTCGACGATCGAGTACGAGTTCCGGCTGGTTGGGTCGGAGGCCTACTACAATCGACCCCAAGGCGGAGGCGGGCGAAAAAAAGTCGATCGCGCGTCCCAAAAGTCGCCACAAGTGGCGGCGAGTCGCAATTAACCGCCCGCCGTCCCGGCGGTCCCGCAGCTCGCGCACATCTCCCTCTTAACCCACCTGTAACATCACAATAGGGAATTCCTAGTCGCCGTTGTGTGCGTGGCTAGCCCCACGGCGTGGAGTGTCAGCCCTAAAAAAGAAATTCTTCGAGGATGAAGCCCTGATACGTGTCTGTCCTCGACCCAGCCCTAGCTTGGGATGTCCGGTTTATTTATCTCTCTTTATTTAGAGAGAGATTTTTAGCAATACCAATTTATGAAGCCCTGATGAAGAATTTTGCCCATGCCGCGCCCATGCTCAGACCGCTAACTCGAGCGAGCCCAAACAGGGCCGTGCCGCTCCTCTCCACCGTGATGCTCCACGCCATCATCGTCACAACGACGTGTCAGCCCTAAAAAAGAAATGCCGCCGCATTCTCTCTGCGGCGGCTCCGGTGGTGAGCCGGTGTGCGTACCAGTCCGCGCCAGTCCGCGCCCTTGTCGTGCCAGTGTGCTGTGAGAGAGGTAGGTAGGTAGGTAGAAAGGTAGGCTTGTATCTCAAGAATTCTCTCTGCCGTTAAATTCTCCGCGGGCGGCCAGAAGGAGGCGCTTTTGCTCGATGATCACTCAGCCGCCGCAGCAGCGCCGTGGCCGCGCGGCCGTTCTGGTGCTCGGCGTGGCCCTCGTCGGCGTGGTCGCCCTGGCGACGTCGCGTGCCGCTCCGCACGCCCTCTTCTCCAGCCTCTTCAAGAAGAAGGACCGCGTCTCGTTCGAGGATGCGACGGCCTCATCGCAGTACCTGGAGCTCCCCGAGGGCTGCAAAATCAGGGGCGGCATGATCATCAATCTGATGAATGGCGTGATCGACACGGCGCTCAACCACCAGAAGCTGCCCACGCCACCCGACCCGCAGAAGGAGCGCAAGATGATCTCGATGGAGACTGGCACATCACTCGTCATGTACAACAAGTCGACGACGGCGATGCACGTCGGCCACATTGAGGTGGCGACCTGCTGGATCCCCGGCCCGGAGGGGAACAAGATCCTGCCCGACCGTCTCGCCGTCACCGTGACGGGCGTCCTCGGCACGCAGCACCTGCAGTATGACCTCGAGCAGGCGCGCGGGCCGCGCGAGTGCTAATCGCGGCAGCCGCGCGCCGAGAGGCGAGACGGCGGCGCTCACCCCCTCCTCGCCCCCGCCTCCCTCCCGCGCCGCAGAACTTCTTCGGCTTCACCCACGGGATGGGCGGCGGCGAGATGAAGGTGACGGTGACTGGCTTCCTCCACCTCCCGCTCATCGACTTGCACGACCTCAACAACACGGTCAAGGGGTGCACGGGCAAGGTAGGGATGCAGTCGATGTGGGCGAGCGGGCCGCACGGGATCGAGGGCGACCCGGTCGCCCTCGACCGCGCCGACGTCGTCGCCGACCAGCAGATGATCCACGACATGTGCCTCGCAGCCCTGCCCCCTCGTGCACCCCTCCCTGTCCACCCTCCCCTTGCGTGTGCTTTGCTCACACGCGCCTCTCTCTCCCCTCCCCTCCTCGCACCGCCGTCCCTCTCTGCAGGTGCTACGGGCCCGCGTACTGGGACGACTCGTTTGGCCCGAAGCCGCCCGGCCTGGTGCCACTCTCTCCCCCGCGCCTCTCTCTCTGCACCACACAAGACACCCCGCGATCCCTTGCTCTCTCTCTCTCCTCCTCCTCGTGTCACTCTCTCCTCCTCTCGCCCTCCTCCTCCCTTCTTCTTCTCCCGCCCTCCCTCCACAGCCCCCCTCCCTCGCTCCACAGCCCCCCCCCCCCCCTCCCTCCACAGGTCGGCGCCATCAACGAGCAGATCCGCAAGCGCTTCTTCAAGGGCTACGTCGCGCCGCCTCCGCCGCCGTCGCCTCCCTTCGACTGCGACTGCAGCTGGACCGACAAGTTCCCCTGCCCAGGCACCCAGCCAGGCGAGCGCGCGCTCAAGCAGGCAAAGGACGACGGCTCGGTCCGCTGCCCCAGATGCCTCCCCAGATGCTTCCCCAGATGCCTCCCTAGAAGCGGGACGCTCCACTCTCCCCGCGCAGACAGACCCGCGCGCTCGAGAAGGCACTCCAGAGACGCCACGGCGCTGCCGCCGCACTCTCCGCCGCGACGCACGCTCCACTCACAGCACTCGCGTCCACCCGCCTCCACCGCTGCCGCCCTCCGCCCAGCTGCCTCTGGCCCGGACCAGCCCGCACCCCCCCCCCCCCCCCCAGGCCTGCTTCCACCACTGCTGCCCTCCCCTCAACCTCGTCGACCACGTCGACCTGAACCCCAACGCGTACTACGACCACGAGCCGGCCAGCGCCGCGTGACCAGCCCAGGGGACGGCGCCAACTTGGCGCCGCCTCTCGCTGCCGCGGGCGGGGCAAGGCGGCGGCCTTCGGGTGTGCAGGACTACAGGCGGGCGTGGCGGCGCCGATCCGCGGCAGAACCACCCCAGAGTTGTACTTGTGAGAGTAGCGCATGCTGGCCATCATGCTCGGCCGAGGCGACGCCACGGCCCCGCTCCCGTCCCTCCCCCTCTTGTCCTCCGGCCCGGCCGGGGCCGCGCCCCCGGTGCGCGGGCGCGGCGGCGGGTCGTGTGTTGTGGGATGTCTGTGGGGGCCCGAGTGTGGCGTTTGTGCTGGTCTCTCTGTTTGTTTGATTATTTGTCACGCCGCCTTTCGGTTTCATTTAAATATCGGCGATTGAAGGGCTTCCTAATGAGCCCTCCTGGCAAAAGAATTTAAACAAGCAACTCTCTCTCACAGCACACAGGCTCGACACAGCAAAAGAAAGTCGCCGCGCGCGTGACGCATCCTGGACGTCGCGCTCGCGTTTTCAAAGCCGGCTTCGCATGACGTCCCTGCCCTCTCTCCCGTCGCCCTGCACGGCAAGGCGCTCCCGCCTCCCAGCCAAGATCGACCACCGCGACAAGCCAAGATCGACCACCTCGCCAATCAACAGCGGCAAGAGCCACAGCGGCATCAAGAAGCAGCCTCGCCGCCGCGACATCACTAGCTTCGAGATCGACTTCTCACGCGCCCTCGGCACCGGCTCGTTTGGCTCTTGCTTTGGCGTAAAGGGCGATGAGCGCGTCGCCATCAAGGTGCTCGGAGGGGAATCCGGGCGGCGCGAGTGCTTCTTCTACGACCGGCTCGACCACAAGGGCGTGATCAGTGTCTACGCGCACGGCTCAACCAGCGCCGGGACATACGCGATTGCCATGGAGCGGTGCCTCGGTGGTGAGCTCTTCGATCGCGTCTCATACTTCCCGCTGCCGGACGAGCAGACCGTCCGCCGCATCTTTTGCGAGCTTCTCGACGCGGTGGAGCACTGCCACAGCCGCGGCGTCGCGCACCGCGACATAAAGCTGGAGAACATCCTTTTCGCCGACACCTCCGGCGGCCCAATCCGGCTCATCGACTTTGGGCTCGCGCACCAGTACCCGCCCGCGCAGGGCGGAGGCTACGACCGCTCCATGCCGCTCCGCGACCGCGTCGGCTCCAAGAGCTACACCGCCCCAGAAGTGCTCGACGGGCTCGGATACGACGGCTTCGCCGCCGACATGTGGTCCTGTGGGGTGGTCCTCTTCACCCTGCTGACGGGCACCTTCCCCCACCCCGACGAGCCGCCCGCCAACCTCGACTTGCGCCTCGTGCGGTCCGGCCTGGACCTCCCCGCAGCCGTCGTCGGCCTCCTCGACTCCCTCTTTGAGGCGGACCCGGCGCGCCGACCCAGTGCCGGCGAAGCGCGGCGCCACGCCTGGTGCGCCGGCGCATCGGCGGGCGGCGCCCGGCGCTGCGGCGCATCATGCACCGGCAAGGACGACTGGTGCGTCTACTACCGCGGGGCGGAGGTTGCGGAGCGGCGCGATCCGAGCGACGCGAGCGACGCGCTCACGGAGCCATCGGGCTTCAGCGCGACGCACCTGGATGATATGCTGGAGGCGGACGCGCGTGATTGGGAAGCGGTTGCAGAGAACACCGAGCTGGACGCGTACCTCGATTCTCTCGCGGCGCCGATCTGGTCCAGTGGATCGGCAGCTACCCCCTCGCCGCCGCCCATGGCATCGTCGGCGACCCCCTCTCTGACTCTGTTTGACTGCTTGCGGCGCCGCCTGGGTGGGAGAGGCGTGTGAGGCTTGGAAAGAGCAGAATGTTGTTAAAGGGGAAGGACCCTGAGTTGAACAGGGGTTGTGCGCCAAGCCCTCCTGCTCGGCTCCAGCGAGTAGACAAGTGTTGTCATCAACAGAGCAGAAGGATCTGACCTCGGGGCCGATGTGACCAAGCGCTGGTAGCATGGTTTTACCTCACACCCATGGTCTCACAGTGTGCCGGCAGTCGCCGCGCAGTGTCGCTCACACAAGCCGCAGCACAAGTGACTGAGGGCCAGTGAGGGCGAGCCCATCGCTGTCACAGCTGTGGCAGCCGCACAGTAGGCTGTGCCATCTGTGCAGAGCGTGTGAGCAGCAGAGGAGCTTCACTCCAAGCTTCAGGCGCAAAGAGCTGCATGCCACCGAAGGCGCTGTCGAGGTTCGCCGAGCGCGGCGCAGGTTGGAGGAAGCCGTCACCGACGAGCGCGTTGGACTTTTCACTCCGGACAAAGACGGGGACACAGCGGACGGTGCGGGGTGTGTCCCCGTCTTAGCGGCGAGGCGCGGGACCGTCTGTGGCGAAGTGGGTCGCGTCCTCCGATTTCCGTCAACTCACGGTCCTTCCCCCGTAGTTTAGATGTTTACCACTATTCGCGCCGACTGCTTTTTGAGCAGCCTGTGTCAACGCGACTGTTCGTGGTGATGATCTGGCTTAATAAATAAATGTAGTATGTACCAGACATCTCCTGGAGAGATACCTTCAGATTAAAATTCTTTTTCAGGAAGCCTGCTTCACCTAGGCTACACCCGCGCTCAGTTCCGCAGCCGAGCGACACATGACTTCGCTCGTGGCCACGCTCGACGACGCCGTCCGCGCCGTCGTGGTGCGGCGGCTGCGGCGGTTGGACCAGTGGTCCGTCATTAAGCTCGTCCTCGGTCTTCTCGGCGCGGCGCGTGCCTATCGGCGGCTGCGGCAGATCATGCGGACGACCGGCCTGCGCCGCTGGGCCTTTACGACCGCCATGCCGCTGCTCAAGCAGCTTCCGCCGGTGAGGAAGGAGCTTGAGGAGGGCCAGGCAAAGGTGAGGGCCGACTTGGAGGGCGTGCTGTTCCGCGACCTCACTGCACCGCGGCTCGAGCTGCCCGCCAAGGGCACGCCGCAGGCGGAGCTGCTGCAGCTGATGGAGAAGCGGCACGAGCTGGACCGCAAGTACTGGGAGGACGGCACCATCACGGGCGCCGTCTACCACGGCGAGCGGGAGCACATGGACTTTGTGGGCAAGGTGTACGGCCAGTTTGCCTTCTTCAACCCACTGCACGCCTCGCTCCACCCGGCGACCCGCCAGATGGACGCAGAGGTGGTGGCGATGGTGCTGCGCATGTGCGCCGCCGCCGCCGCCGCCGCCGCCGCCGCCGCCCCGCCCCACGGGTCGCGTCGAGTCATGGGCGGAGGTGCTCTGCAGGTACCGTGGCCCGGCTGGCTCGTGCGGCGCCTTTACGACCGGAGGGACCGAGTCGATCCTCATGGCGAGAGATAGCCGAGAGATAGCCTTCACGACGGGAGGGACCGAGTCGATCCTCATGGCGACGAGACGACGCGCCGCGGCGGGAGGCCGAGAGGGTCGCGCGTCGGTGACGCGTCGGTGACGCGCCCCGCAGGCGATGAAGACGTACCGCGACTGGGGCAGCGCCACTCGCGGTGTGCGCGAGCCGAACATTGTGATTCCGCTGACGGCTCACGCCGCCTTTGACAAGGCCTGAGACGAGCCCTCGGCTTCGAGACCCGTCCATGGAGTGCGCCAAACTCGCCGCCTGCTGCCTGCCCCAGGCGGGCCACTACTTCGGAATCGAGGTCCGGCACGCGCGCTGCACCTTCCCGGAGCAGGCCGTCTCGCCCTCGCGCGCGACGAGAGGGCGGCGCATCTCTCTCCGGAACCTCCGAGAGACCCTTGCCGGAACCCTCCTCCCGCAGGCCGTCGACGTGGCGCATGTCCGCTCTCTCATCGACTCCAACACCGTCGCCCTCGTCGGCTCGGCGCCGCAGTTTGCCACCGGCACCATCGACCCGATCGAGGCGCGCCCACCCAACCTCGCGCCCGCTGTCGCACGCCCGCCGTCGGTAATCTCACTATACCTCGGGGAATCTCACTAGGAGCTCGCCGAGCTCGCCGAGGTGCGCGTGCCCGGCTTGCACCTTCTCGGAGCCTTCTCGGAGCCTTCTCGGAGCCTCTCGGAGCCGTACCATAGGCGCGCGGGATCGGCCTGCACGTCGACTGCTGCCTCGGGGGGTTTGTGGTTCCCTTCATGGCGGCCGCGGGCTCGCCGCCGCCGCACGGCTTCGATTTTACGGTGCGTCACTGCAATCTCGTGCGACCCGAGGTCACGCGAGATCAAGCGAGATCTCTCCAGGTCACGCGAGGTCGCCCGAGACTCAGGTGCGCGGCGTCACCACGATCTCGTGCGATCCCCACAAGTACGGGTTCGCGCCAAAGGGGGCGTCGGTGCTCATGTTCCGGAGCAAGGAGCTGCGCCACCACATGTACACTTTTGCCACCGAGTGGACTGGCGCGACGCCCTCCGCCCCTCTCCCTCGGCCTGCCCCTCGCCTCTCGCCCCTCGCCGCCGCCCCTCGCGCCCTCTCGCCCTCGTGCCCAGCCACCGGGCACCGGCACCGAGGCTCAGCGCCGCTCGACGCTGCCGCGCCCCTCCCAGGCGGCATCTACGCCACGCCGACGATGCTGGGCTCGCGGCCCGGCGGCGTGGTCGCGGCGACTTGGGCGGCGATGATGCGCTACGGCGAGGCTGGGTACGTCGAGCCGACGGCTACACGGACATGTCCATGACACGTCCCTGACACATGCTCCATAGGCGAGGCTGGGTACGTCGAGTCGACGGCGCAGATCGTCGGCGCGACGCGCCGCATCGCGGAGGCGATCCCGACGGTCGGCGGCTCGACTCTGTCCAGGACACGTCCATGACATGTCCGAGGCACGTCCACAGGCGATCCCGACGATCGGCGGGCTCGAGTTGGTTGGCCGCGCGGACGCGTGCGTCGTCGCGTTCGGTGCGAAGCAGGGATCGGGCCTCAACTGCTACAGCGTCGCCGATTGCCTCAAGGAGATTGGCGGCTGGGAGCTCGCGACGCTGCAAAACCCGGCCGCCGTCCACCTCGCCGTCACGCTGCCGACCGCAAAGAACGCGACGCGGTTCGTCGACGAGCTGCGGGCGGCTGTCGCCACGGCTTGCGCCCTCTCCCGCCCCCTCCCCGCAGCAACCCAATCGCCGCCTTGCCCGAGGCCCACGGCTTGTCCACTTTTCGCCGGCAGGTGCGCTCGGAGCCGGAAAAGTACAAGGGCGGCTCGGCGGGCCTGTATGGCATGGCCTCCAGCCTTCCGACGAGTTTCATCGAGGAGACGGCGAAGGTGTACCTCGACACAATGACCGCTTGTCCAGAGTCGCACAAGTGAGGCGCCGCCGACGGTGCGATTTCAACAGCGTGCGAGGCGTGATGGAAGGAGGTCGCACATATTTTGCGCGAACTTAACCCCTAAACGGCGTTCCTTTACATATGTAAAGGAACTGATTGTTATTTTATTCCTTTGCAGGACGGCTGGTCGGAGCGACGGCCGATCCAGCAGTCGTCTGCGACATGGTAGTGGCCCCGGGTCATGTGCAGCTGGTCCCGAGCGGCTCAGGTCCCAGATCGAATCTCGGACCCACAGATTCTAGATTCCTTTAGATTCCCTGGATTCCCGCAACAACGATCTCTTAGCGGCGGCAAACAGAGGCGCAACTCTGCCAGCAGCGAGGAGGCTCCTGCTGCTCAGCTACCGAGGCCTGGTGGCGTCGGTTGCTGCGTGGAGAAGACAGCAGCACTGTCCGACCTCAAAACATGCACAACAAGCGGGATTTGTGACTCTGTCTTCGATTCTTCAGTCGCTCTGCCGGACGCGCTCGCTTTGTCGCGAGGGTCACCTGTGCAAGCCGTGTGGACGCCCAGAATAGCCTCCCCTGGCTTAGCTAGACTGAGAGATATTGTGCACATGGTCAGCCTCTACAATATATACGCTGACACTTTACCTCCCAGAGCTCGTCTCGGTCCGCCACGGCCATCCTCAGCCTCCGGAGGGCCCCTGGCCGCGGCGCGGTGCGGCGGCGTCACAAATCCGACGTCAGTTCACCGGGACGCGATCGGGCGATCTGAAGTCCAACTAGGCGTATGGATTGCCCGCCCAGGGCTATCACCTGGACCCCTCAATGGACGCCTGCGGTGCCGCCCCCACGAGGTGTTGTTCACACCTGTCCAACCATTCGTGCAGCAGGGACGCGCTGTGTGTGGCTGGCAGCAAACTCAAATGACGACGGGTTGCAGCCTCGTAGCTCAACGGCAACATTGTGCATGAGGAAGGCTGATAGAAGTAGCACCAGCCACACAACCAACAGCTTCTGGAGAGTATGCGGAGCGCAAGCAGCCGGTGATCAAAGGCGTGTGTTGCTGTCGGTGGCAGATTGCCACAGGGACGCCGGCGCTTCGGTGCGTGGCTTCGTCACAATTTTCCACCGCTCAACTTGGAGGCAGTGTGTCTAGTAGCGTGCTACACCTATGACGGCGGACCTCACTGGGGCGCCGACGTGCGACGACCGTCTGGGATCGAAAGACGAAACCGCGTCCTCCAGGAGCTCGTGCAGTCTGCAGAGCGCGCTCCGGAGCTCTGTGGCGGAAAATTTAAAGGGAACGTGGTGGCTTCCCACCGCCTCTGTATGTGCCCAATAAAGTGCTAACACGACCCTCGGGCAGCAGGGGGTATGTGGCGAGCGCACGGAGGCACAGTTAGGCCGCCGTGATATCGCCCTTCCGGGCACCCCGTTTCGGTATAGCCGTTTAGGGGTTAACTCTGCACACTTCGGCTGAGCTTTTTTTGCGGGCTCTTTTTCTCCTTCTGTCCTACTGTCCTCTCTCTCGATCCTCGGTCTCTGCTCTCTTGCAAACACATGTTTTCTCATGTGTCATGACGTATCTCTTTACGTCAGTAGTCTGTAGTCACTCTCACACACCTCACACGCGCCTCAGCCCTCACCCTCAGAGAGCTCTGACCTCTCAGTACTCAGACCCCGGGCCACCGCAGGTGTCGTCACGCAACTCGCAAGTGCGAAGTGGTCACGCAGTCCTGAAATCACATAGTGTCGTGCGAGTGTCGGTCTCAGTGTGTCCTGGCTCGCACGATACAGCTTTTACAGAGGGCGCAACCACACACACTCGAAATCTAATCTCGATCGGCGCGCGCCGTCCGCCGAAAAGAGCGAGGCTTGTGCGAAGCTGTGAGTGTCCCGTGACGGCGCTTTCCGACTTACCCACTTCACGCCGTTCACCCGAGCGCCTCCACCTCCTCCGTCATCAGCTTTGCTCGGCGCAGGGCGTGGATCGCATCGGGCGTCCTCGCCGCTGCCTTGTGTGCCAGCGCCGCCTTCTTCTCCGCGACGATGGCCACCTGCAGCCTCGCGACGAGCGCCTCGGGCGCGAGCGCGCTCTCCTCGGCCAGGAGGACCGCCCTGCGCGTCTCGAGCGCCTCGATTCGCACCTCGGCGCCCTCCGCCTCCTCCTGCGACTGTGCCGAGGCGAGGCCAACCTCCCAGTCGAGCACTCGCTGCGAGACGATGGTGCGCGCGTACGCCTCGGCCGCGTCAATAGGGTCGTCCGGCGTCGCCGCCGGCGGCGCAGGACCCGCCGACGACGACGGCCCGCCCGCATCGGCCGCCGCCGCCGTTGGGTGCGGATACTGCGACAGGAGGGCCTCCGCCGCCGCCTGGAGCGCTTTGCCACGCTGAAGCCAGAGCATCGCCATCTCGGTCTCGCCGCTCTGGGTTGCATGAACCGCCGCCGTCTCGTACTCCCGTGCGCGCTCCGACAGCTTGTCCGTGGGCCGGGCCTTGCCCTGATGCGCCTGCGGCTTGGCCTGAGGCGCCTGCTGTGGCTGCCTCGAAGGCAGCGGCGCAGCCTGCTGCGGCTTCCTCTTGGGTGCGGGCGCCGGAGCCCCGCCCAGCACCGACTTGAGGACGGAGGCGATCTCCTTGTCGCTCACCTTCTCGCCCGTGCCCTCGAGATCGAAAGCCTCGAAGTCTAGCTCGGCGTCGGCGGGAGAGGACTTGTTGCGAGGCATATATGTGCCGTGAATGACCTGGCGCGACGCCTCGCTTCGCCCGAGATCGTCGCGGCGTGTGAGCGCCCTCCCAGGCCGCCTGCTGGTCTCGAGCGCGGCTGGCGCACGCCTCGGCCTCCGCCGCACCCCACCCGCTGCGCTCGCCGGGGGCGGCGGCCACGGAAGAAAGCGTTGGCGCGACGTGGTGTCGCTCGCAGCTGCTCTCGCCGACGGTGATCCTGGCTGCCCAAGCACTGTGAGCCGACCGGCGGTATATATTCTAAACATCGACGTGGAATATTCGCCATAATGGAGCGGCGGTAGAGCGTGGCGTCGGCGGCGCAGCGTGTCCTCCGCGACGTCGACGACTCGGACGCGTCTCGGAGCGATGCGGAAGATGCGGGAGAGGAGACGGGAGCGGCCAGCGAGCTAGCAGCGACGAAAGCGAGGGCGGAGATGTTGCGAGCGGTTCTGCCTCAAGCTCGCTCTGTCCGAGTAGTAGTTTTTCTAGCAGTCCTGTGTGTGTAAAGTAAAGACCTCGAAATGAAGAAAGAAAAGCGATAGAGTTGCAAAAACACAAAAAGCACAAACTGCGTTGAAGTGCGATGGGCTCATCCGGGATCGAACCGGAGACCTTTAGATCTTCGGTCTAACGCTCTCCCAACTGAGCTATGAACCCTGAAACTCATGATGTGCTCACCATGGCGCCGCCTCATGACTCATGGTGTGTGTGATTGTGGGTGTGTGTGTGTGTGTGTGTGTGTGTGTGTGTGTGTGTGTGTGTGTGTGTGTCTTGTGTTTTGTCTGTTTGAGAGAGAGAGATTTTTATTAACCAACAAGAAATCATTTTTTTTTTGTTTGAGAGAGAGAGAGAGAGAGATTTTTAGCAATACCAAACAAAGTTGTTTGTTTGTGTGTGTCTGACATAATATGCTACATTTGGGGATGACTGCACGTCTCGCGCGCGCGAGTTTGTTGTTTTTGTGTCGCGCGCGTGAACAGGGCTCCAGGCCCCAAATTACGTGTGAGTGTTAGAGTTCTGGTTTTATTGGTTTTAGGTATGTTGTTGGCCGCAAACCAAGACAGGTTTTATTGGTGGCTTGGTTTCTTTTGACTGTAGGGCAATTTCAAAGTATGTGAAGGCCACAAAAGCGCGAAGAAGATTTCTTGTTGTCTTCAAAAATCTCTCTTCATAAGCGGCTTCGTGGAAACGAAGAAAGAAAGAAATCACCGGCAAGTGCCGCAGAATGCTCGCCTGCGCCCGCTACGAGCTGCGGCTCGCTGCTCTTCCGCCCGATGCCCTGATCGCGATCGCCGCCGGCGCCATGCGGGACAGCCCCGCTGCAAACAGGAGGGCCGAGGCGCTCCTCGCGCACCACAGCCCTCCGCCCGCCGTCGCGACCGACGTCCTCGCGGACCCGGACCTTGCGCCGTGCGTGCTCGAGAAGACGGGCCTGCGCCACGCGGCCGTGTGCAAGCGGTGGTCCCTGATCTGCGCGCCGCGCGGTGCCTTCGCGCGGCTGGTGGAGACCGCTGGCGATGCCTCCTCGGAGCTGCGCGCCGCTGCGCTCGGAGAGCTCAAGCGGCTGTCGGGAGAGGAGGCCGGCAGCAGGCGGGTGGACGCGCTCGTCGCCCTCTTGCAGGTTGGAGACGAGGACGAGAAGGCGGACGTCGCGGCAACGCTCCTTCTTCTTTCCGAGGACGGTGAGAGCAGCATGGCGATCGCTGCGGCCGGCGGAGTTGAGGCCCTCGTGTCACTGGCTCGCGACGGGAATGAGGCGCAGAAGGAGGATGCGGCGGGGGCGCTGTGGAACCTCTCTACCAACGACGACAACAGCGTGGCGATTGTTGCGGCCGGCGGCATCGAGATTTTAATGTCGCTGGCTCGCGACGGGAATGAGGCGCAGAAGGAGAATGCGGCGGGAGCGCTGGCGAACCTCGCTCTGAACGACGACAGCAGCGTGGCGATTGCTGCGGCCGGCGGCATCGAAGTCCTCGTGTCGCTGGCTCGCGACGGGAGTGAGGCGCAGAAGGAGCGTGCGGCGGGGGCGCTGGCGAACCTCGCTGTCAACGACGACAACAGGGTGACGATTGCTGCGGCCGGCGGGATCGAGGTCCTCGTGTCGCTGGCTCGCGACGGGAGTGAGGCGCAGAAGGAGCGTGCGGCGGGGGCGCTGGCGAACCTCGCTGTCAACGACGACAACAAGGAGGCGATTGCTGCGGCCGGCGGCATCGAGGTCCTCGTGTCACTGGCTCGGGACGGGACTGAGGGGCAGAAGGAGGATGCGGCAGGAGCGTTGTGCAACCTCTCTATGAACGACGACAACAAGGCGGCGATTGTTGCGGCTAGTGGCATCGATGTCCTCGTGTCACTGGCTCGGGACGGGATAGAGGGGCAGAAGGCGTGTGCGGCGGGGGCGCTGAGGATTCTCGCTGGCAACGACGAACACCGCGTGGCGATCGCGGCGGCTGGCGGTATTGATGTCCTTATCGCGCTGGCTCGCGACGGGACGGAGGCGCAGAAGGGGGAAGCGGCGGGAGCGCTGAGGAACCTCGCTATGAACGACGACAACAGCGTGGCGATCGCAGCGGCCGGCGGCATCGAGGTCCTTATCGCGCTGGCTCGCGATGGGACTGAGAGGCAGAAGGGTGGTGCCGCGGTGGCGCTCGGCAACATGATTGAGGTAGCGTCTGGCACGCACGAGGGCGTCGTGGAGGCTGGCGGTGTGGCGGTCCTCTCCTCTCTCACGCAGGAGGCAGGCGCCTCGGACAACTGCAAACTCGTTGCTGCCATTGCGCTTGTGCACTTGGCTTGCACCCGCGCCGACCTCGCGGCTGACGACACTTGCCTCTCGCTGCTCCTCTCGCGGCTGAACCAGCCCGAGGAAGGTGGCTGGCGCAGAGACAGCATCAACGCCCTCCTTCGTCTCGCAACCTCCTCGTCTGCGTGCGCTGAGCAGTGGCACCGGGTCGGCGGCGTTGCGGCGCTGCAGGCGCTCGCTCGAGAGACGGCGGAGGAGGGGGTGGAGAGGCAGGCGGAGAGGTGCGACGAGGCGCTGGCCAGCCTCGGCGTGAGGAGGGTGCGCAGGCGGACGGCCGCGTGAGCCCCAACGGAGCCGCATGAGCTCTTGAGCAGTTGGAGTGGCCACGCCGCGTGTTTTATTCTTTTTTTGGTGGGTAGCACGATTACTGAGGCGGACGCGACTCAAGGCGTCGATTTTCTTTTTTCGCTTCGCCTTTTTCGGCACAAGCTCCCGCTCCCCCCGCGTGAAGCGTGAATGCGTAAGTACCTTTGAACCTCTGTGTTAGTGCCAGTGCGCGCCAGTTGCAGTTCGGGGGGCACTTGGAGTGCAGTTAGTTGGCAACCGCACACCCAGGGCCGGGGATTTGCATTTGGGGGCTTTCTTTGTGTAAATTCTTTGTTATTGTTTTCGCGCAACGAGACGTGACAAGCGCTGCGAGATTTCCGCTGGCGCGTATGCGGAGCGAGAGGGGATACGATGGTAAGCGGGAGATCGGCGGGTTTGTTGTGTGCCTGGCGCAGGCAAAGCACTTGGAGCACTTGGAGTGCAGTCGGTAACCTCACATCCAGGGCCGGGGAGCTAAGAAGCGTACCCAGCGGGCCGGATGATCGGCATCGGGCTACGGGCTAGAGAGCCCTGACCCCTAGGGGGGTGCGCGTTAGCAGGGAAAGGGCTGTAAAGTAAACACGCGTCTCCGAGGGTTGGTTCCGTGTACCGGGTTTCCCCTTAACTTCAGAACGCCCCCTCTACTCGGAGCTAGTAGACACGACACTGTACACCACGGGCTCTGCCGTCTTCAACCTCTGCTGCATCATCGGCGGCACCGCGCTCTTCACGGTTTGTGCTCAAGATCGACTGGAAGCCGATCACGCGGGACACCTTTTTCTACGCGCTCTCGATCGCGGCGATGATCTACGTGCTCAACGACGGCGAGATCACGCTGCCCGAGGCGGTGACGCTCGTCGTGCTGTACGTGGGCGCCCAGGCTTCATACAGTGGGCCCGCTGAGCGCACTGCTGCCCCACCCCGGGCTGTTCGCACGCCATGCACGCTTGGCTCGAGGCAGCTCGGCTGCCCAGCCCCAACCCAGCTCGTGCAGCCCGCTCGGGCGCCTCCGTGAGCCTTGCGGCGCTCCCGCCATCTGGACGGTTCAGGACCCCCTCATCGAATACACAGCCAACGCAGGGTTCAAAGCGTGGAGGATCCAAAAAAGGCCTTCACGGACGCTTATAGGAAGTTTCACGGTTACGAGAGCGGATTCACTCGGAGACACGGAACAAACTACACAAGAATCGACAGATTCTATATACGAAGACATTTCTCCTTATTCCATATAGTCAGAATAGAGCCAGACCCCAACCTCTTCGTTGGGGGCGCCAAATCCGACCACCACCCCGTCGTGCTAGAGATTGAGACACCGTCCTCCAGTGTCGTGTGCATGTCTGGTGTTCATTTATAGCTCCGAGTAGAGGGGGCGGTCTGCTGCTAGGGGAAACCCGGAGCGCGGAGCCAACCCTCGGAGACCCGTGTTTACTTTACGGCCTTCTCCCTGCGAACGCGCACCCCCCCTAGCTAGGGGTCAGGGCTCTCTAGCCCGTAGCCCGATACCGATCATCCGGCCCGCTGGATGCGCTTCTCAGCTCCCCCCGGCCCTGGATGTGAGGTTACTGACTGCACTCCAAGTGCTCCAAGTGCTCCTCCACGACACCACCAAAGGGAGAAATCAAAACAGACGAGACCCTCTTCAACGACCCAAAGATACACAGAGAAATCCAAGAAATATGGAAGAAGGAGCTATACGGGCAAGAAAGACGAGACCGAGGCAGCCAAATTCACAGAAGCTATCGAGCAAACAACAGCCCATCTCCACCAGGAAACCAGGAGAAAGCGACACACACCCGACGCAGCCGAACTGATTAAGAGAGGGATCGCACGAGTGGAAGAAGCCTTCAAAGACAAATCATCTCCAGCGTTCTCACGATGAGTGTCGGACACCTACGATGGCTATGCGCCTGGGGTCTCGGATGCAGTGCTCCTCGCCGCTCGGCTGCACTCCTGGCTTCACCCAGGCGCTGTCGTACTTTCCCCGCCACGACGAAGTGGATTGCCACTGGCCGCCCCGCTCGCTCCCTCGGCGAATCACCCTGACGTTGCCGATGGAGACACGCAACGTGAGCATTGTGCCATCGCCGTACTGACGAGCCTTTCTGATGTCCCGCGACGCGTAGACCCCTGGCCCGAGCATGCCACTGCTCGACGGGCGGAAGCCGTTAGAGACGATCGAGCGCGCTCTGCTTGCAGTTGTTCCGTGGTACATGATCGTGCCACTCATGGTCATTGAGGCCCATGGGAGTTGCGCGCCAAGCATGACGTCCCGTATGAGGCCCAATACCCGATGACAGAGCACACCCACGAGGAAGACCACGGCTGCCGTCGTCAGCATGGGGCACGACGGTGTCCACACGACGCAGCCCTGATGCAAGCTCATGACTCCAGCCCTTAGCAGATCGAGGCACGCCAGGATGGCCTTCACCCAGCACGAGTCGTCGCCGCACACGTCTTGCCGCTTCAGGTTGATCCACGTCATCACGGGAGGAGCCCACGCCCATGCGTGGCTCACCGCGGTCGCCGCCACGGCCGACAACGATCCTGCATGCTTGAGTGCGGCTGCCGACAGCTGTCCTGCATGCCTGAGTACCGCCGCCGCCAACCAGCAGATTGCGACCACGAGCCATAGCAGCGCCTCGCCCAACCACTTCAGCACGAGAGGCGCCCACTCCCATGTCAACCTCACTACCACGGCCAACCACGCTCCGACATGCCTAAGTGCGGCTGCCGAGAACAAGCCTGCATATCTGAGTGCGACGGCCGCCCACCAGCCCCTGCACCTTTCAGCTGCACAGGCTGCAATCGCCATGACGACCGCCATGATGATGATGGACAGAGGGAGGCGTCTCGATTTTCGAAGGCGCCGGACGGTGCCATACTGCTGGTTCCTCTGCTCGAGTGAGCCATGCCTGACGGATACGGTGTAGCTGTGCTCACCGATGCGGTATGCCATCACGACGGATTGATCGCCAGCGGCGCGACACCGCTCCGCCCTGGCAAGCGTTGCGGTTGCAGACTTGTGCCGCACGGGCTGCCAGCGGCCGGACTGGGTCTGAGCGCACGCACGTCCCCGCGAAGCCTCACGCGAAGCCTCAACGACCCTTTGCTCCTAAATCAGCAGCAGCCATGGAGACCAAGCCCGACCCCGAGTACGTCTTTGGCGGCAGCAAGGACGACAAGGTCAATCTCTGCGAGTACGTTGCCTTGAACCACTCGCTCCTCGGCATGTTCTTCCAAAAAAAGGGCAGCGACCCCGCGCCGCCTAGCCGCGCACGCTCCTCCGCGCACGGCAACCCACCTCTTGCTCGCACGCAGGCAAGCCGGTGCGGGACCGCGCTGCGCTCTTCGGCTTCACGACGACGGCGGCCATTGCGACGGGCATGCTGACGGCAGAGTACGTGGGCGTCGACGACTGGAAGAGCCAGATGGCCAGCCTCGGACTCACCATCCTCATCGTGACGCCCGCCACCTTCATGTTCAAGTGCGCCCAGGGCTTCCTGTCAGACATGAAGTGCCTGCTCGAGGCGCGCGCCGCGCTCGGACCCGCCACGCACCCTCCAGCCTGCCCACCCACCGCCCGGCGCCGAATGAGAACATACACAACTTTTCCTCGCCCGCCGCCAGATGGTAACCGTCTTCTTCATGACCGCCACCGTCTACTGGGCCGCCACGAGGCCCAAGGCCGCCGACGCCGGTTTCCAGGCGGTCTACGGCCTGATAGCCAGCTGGGTGGTTGAGGCGCCCTCGCACATCTTCAAGTACCTCTACTGCGCCACCTTTTGCCCGTGCTGCGTGCCAAAGAAGAGCAAGCTCAACACGGTGGACGACATTGCGCGCGAGTATGAGGGCGGCGCCCCAGAGCTGCACGTCAACATTGAGCGATGAGCCCTCTCCCCGCCCGACTTCTGTGCGCGCGCGGCGGCGAGGGCCGCCGCCGCAGCGTCTGGCGGACATCAACTTAGCTACTCTCAGCGCCTCTCCTCCTACTCAACCGTGTGGTCTCTTCCCAGCTGGCAACTTCCGTGCCCCAATCCACGCCGCACGTGCCTCCCGGCCGCGGCGCTCGGGCGGTGCGTGCGCCGTTCCGCGCGCCGCGATGGGCGGCGTGGCCTCTCTCGGTCTCGCCCTCAGCAGCAGTGGGTGCGTCGTGCGTGCGGACTGCGGTGCGACGCGCACATCTCTCGCCCGCATCGCGTGATTCTCGCGAGCCCGTCAATTTATGTACCACTGTCTTGTGTCCGTCAGTCGTATCGTGCCGTTCAACTTATTATCAGCGCAACACCACGCGCCGCACATGCGGCCTGACGCCTGTGTGTTGTGAGAGTCCGGCTTCACGCGGGAGCGGTCGGGACAGCACAGTGCCGTCAGCGCACCCACCCCTCTCGCCACCGGCCCGGGTTCCCCGCTCTTGCAACACCGCCGCAACACCCACAGCGCGCGCACGCCCACCGACAACAGTACAGTCACATGCGGTCTCCGACGACCCGCGCCTCGCCCGTACCACAGCCGCGCCGCCCTCCCGCCAAAATCTCGACGCACCTCCAAAAGCTCTGTCCTCTCTCCTCACGCGGCCGCCTGTGCCGGCGGCAGCTCCTCGCCGCCGCCACCGCCGCTCCCGCCGCCGCCGCCCCCTCCGGCGTCCTCGCCCGCGTCGTCCGCCGTCTCAAGCTTCCGCTTCCACGAGGCGTTGACAAACTCATCGTAGTCGACCGACTTTGAAAAGGGCCGCTCGCCGAGCACGCGGATCAGGTCGTCCGAGCCGATCACCTCCTTCTCGAGCAGCGACTCGGCCAGGGCGGTGAGCTTGTCGCGGTGCTCGGTGAGCAGCGACACGGCGCGCTCGTAGGACGCGTCGATGATCTTGGACACCTCCTCGTCGATCACGCGCGCCGTCTTCTCGGAGTAGGGGCGGTAGAGCGTGTTGGACTCCTCCTGCTGCCCAAACGAGAGCGGGCCGACGCGCGACGAGAGGCCGTACACGGTCACCTGCGGGCGGGTGGGTGGGCGGCGGGGGGGGGGGGGGGGGGCTCGTGAGCGGAGAGGTGGCGGCGAGGGCGGCGCGGCGGGCGAGGGCGGCGAGGGGGGTCGGCGCGGGTAGACAGGCGAGCGGGGGGACGGCGGGGCGCAGAGGGGGTGGGGCGGCGCCACCTGCTCTGCGGCCCTCCCTCCCAGCGCCATGCACATCATGTCGTCGAGCTGGCCCTCGGTGTAGAGCGGCACGTCGCGCGGGAGGGACTGCGAGTAGCCGAGGGCGGACTGGCCGCGCGGCACGATGGACACCTTCACCGCCGGGGGAGGGGGCAGGTGAGGGGCGAGGGCTGGGGCGAGGGGCAGCATTGCGGCACGATGGGCACCTTCATCACCGGGTCGGCGTGCTCGAGCAGCCAGCCGCAGAGGGCGTGCCCCGCCTCGTGGAAGGCGACGACGCGCCGCTCGTACGGGTCGATGGTGAGGTCCTTCTTCTCGATGCCGGCGATGACGCGGTCGATCGCCGCGTCGAAGCACTCTGCGGTGACGACGCTCTCGCTCCGCCGCGCCGCGATGAGCGCCGCCTCGTTGCACACGTTGGCGATCTCGGCGCCCGAGAAGCCGGGCGTGAGGGCGGCCATCTTTTGGGACCACGACTCCGAGTCGGCGTCGAGCTTGAGCGCGCCTGGGCGGGGGGGGCAGAGGGCGTGAGCGACGAACACGGCGAGCGCCGCGCCGCCTCGCCTCTCCACGAGTGCGCGCCGAGAGTCGGACGCTCGAGAACTGGGCTAGGTGTCTGGGCCAGATCTCGGGCCGCATCTCGCATCTGCGCGCCGAGGTGGACGCGGAAGATCTCTGCGCGGCCGGTGATGTCGGGCTTGTCGACGACGATCTGGCGGTCGAACCGGCCCGGCCGCAGCAGCGCGGGGTCGAGAACGTCGGCGCGGTTGGTGCCCGCGAGGACGACGATGCCTGCGGGACCATGTCACATCGCGTTTGGACATCTCGTGGCCATGCACGACTGCGCCTGTGGTCGTGGAGTGGGCGGGAAAAGGCGGGCGGGAGGCGGGCGGGAGGCGGCACGGCGGGCGGGCACGGCGGGTGCAGCGGTGGCGGGGCGCCGACGGCGCGGCGGTGCTGGCAAGGCGGCGAGGGCGCGGCGGGGCGGCAAGGGCTGGCGACTCGCCCGACGAGGGCGAGAAGCCGTCGAGCTCGATCAGCAGCTGGTTGAGCGTGTTCTCGCGCTCGTCGTTGCCTCCGTTGAAGCCGCCCTTGCCGCGCGCGCGGCCGACTGCGTCGATCTCGTCGATGAAGATGAGGCAGGGCGCGTTGGCGCGCGCCTGCGCGAAGAGGTCGCGCACGCGCGCCGGCCCGACGCCGACGAACATCTCGATGAAGTCGGAGCCGGAGATGGAGTAGAAGGGCGCCTTCGACTCGCCGGCGGTCGCCTTTGCGAGCAGCGTCTTTCCGCAGCCGGGCGGGCCGACGAGCAGAGCCCCCTTGGGGATCTTTGCGCCGAGCTTGGTGTACCTGCGGCCGGGGCGGGGAGATGAGGGCGGGTGGGCGGGGGGGGAGGGAAGGAGAGGGGAGGGCGGGCGGGTGGGGAGGGGAGGGGGCAGCAGGGGGGGGGGGGGGGGCAGCCGGAGGCGGCGGAGGTGGCGGCGGCGGCGGCGGCGGCGAGAGGATGAGGAAGGGAGCGGGAGCAGAGGAGGCGGGAGCGGGAGCGGCGCTGCCGCACCGCTCCGGGTTCTGGAGGATATCGACAAACTCCATCACCTCGGCCTTGGACTCTTGCAGCCCAGCGACGTCCTTGAAGCGCGTCTGCACCTTGGACGCCTTGATCGCCTTCGACTTGCCGACGTTGAAGAGGCCTCCGCCGCCGCCCATGCCGCCAATCCCGCCTGGCGGCGCGCCAGGAGGGCGCGGGTGGGCGCAGCTGGTCGTGCGGCGAGGGGAGCCCAGCCGCTGGTCTCGTGAGGCGGTGTGGAGACGCGGCGAGGCGCGGGGTGGGGCGAGAGCTGGATAGATCTCACGCCACGGGGTGGTGGGGAGCCCGTGGTGCGGGGGGGAGGGGCGGGGGGAGGGGCGGCGCGTGGCCGGGGCAGGGGCGGGAGGAGGGGCGGGAGGAGGGGACGGAGGAGGGGCGGAAGGGTGGGAGATGTCGGTGCGGGAGGGTGGAGGCGTCTCGGAGGCGTCCTGTACCGCCGAGCGCGCCGCGCGACATTGCGACGAGGAAGCCGATGAGGAGGAGGGAGGGGACGTAGCGACCCGCCTGAGGGAAGGGGGGGGAGGGGAGGTGGGGCGGGCAGGGAGGGGAGGTGGGGGTGGCGGGGAGGGCGAAGCAGGGGGAGGGGAGTGAGGCGTGGCGGGGACGGAGGCGGCCTCCGACGCCCAGGAGCGCTGCGAGACGAAGGCGACGGGGACGTGGTCGCGCAGCGGCACGCCGAGCTCGTTCTGCGCCGCCTCGAGCCGCTCCTGTTGACGGCAAGAAGACGCGTGGAGAGACGCCGCTCACGGCTCATTCCGCGCCGCCCTCTCGGCCGCTCCTCAAACGAGTCGAGCGAGCCAATCGTGAAGTAAAACTCGGCGGGCTTGTCGGGCACCGCAGAGGCGAGGGGCGCGAGTGGCTGCTGCAGCTCAAAGCCGGGCTCCGCCGCCGCCGACTGCGACGACTCGTACAGATGTACCCGCACGATGGTCCCGTTGACCACCACGAGCCGCCTGCGCCAGTGCAGTGTGGCGGTGGCAGGCGGGGGCCGGGGAGGCTGGGCGTGGGCTGGCGCGCGGCGCACCCGACGCGGCCGGTGGCGAGCATGTTGGACATGAAGTGCTGCATCGATATCTCCTTCTGCGCACCGCCGCCGCCCTCCCCCCGCCCGCCAAAGATTACAAAGGTCGCGAGACCCAGCCCGGCGGACGTCGCCGCAAAATTGGCGAGCTGCGACGCAGAGGGCCATCCGCCGCCGCCGTTGCCACCTCCTCCGCCACCGCCGCTGCTGCCGCCGCCGCCGCCGCCCTCCGACCGCGCGTGCACCCCGTCCGCGCCCTTCTCTGCCGCGGAGCCCTTGGTGCGGGGCGCGAAATTGCGGAACGCCGGAGGCGGCTTTGGGGGCTCGGAACAGAGCAGCCGCGCCGGCGGCCGGAGACTGCGGCTGAAGGGGCGCCGGCACGCCAGCGGCGCGGCGCAAAGGCCTCTCCTGGAGGATAAGCGCGCTGCTCTCATCTGGACGCCTCCGAGAAGTGGTGGCTACCAACTCGTTCAGGGTACCTTCCCCACCCTTGAAAAGAGAATAAGCGCGATCTCCAAACGACACCTGGAATTGCGCCTCGCCGCTTTCCTCCCGCTGTGATTCTGTGCGAGCTCTGTGTCGCGATCTGCTAACTTGGGCGGTACAGATTTCTTTCGTGTGCTTGCCGATCGCGCGCCACCGCCCCCGGCGCGGGGTGGGAACTCAGAGATGATTCTTTCTTCTTGAACTCAGTTCGTGAGTTCTGTGTCCCCATCCCTGTGCTCCACCTTTCTTCTCCCGCGTCAGTCCCATGAGAACCTCACTATATTTTCCCCACCTCGTGAGTGAGCTGTCCTGTGAGCTGTGTGCTGTGTGTGTCCATCCAGCAGTCCGGAAGAGAAGTACAGCGATCGCCAACTCGCTGGCCTCTCCGCAGGCCCCCCCGACCGCGTCGAACTCATCGGCGCGGGCACTCTCGGCTACGGGACCGGCCCCAGCTTCGGCTGAGGGCTAACAAGCTGCCGAGCCCAAATCACTGTGAGAGTCGTGATTTCTTGTTGGTTAATAAAAATCTCTCTCGCAGTCCGGACCCGGTGCTACAGCCGGTGACAGTGTGCCTCGTGTCGGCTCCCGAGCCGATCGTGTGCAGCGTGTGTGTGCGTGTGGGCCCGTCCTCCATGCTAGGAGGTGTGTAACACTGACTGACTGACTGCTTGCCGATCGCAACGTACGTTACATCCTGACTGAGTTGTTTGGTTGTCATCCTCAGTGCAGGTGGGGCTGCGCGACCGTGCTGCTGCGCGTGCGAGAGAGGTTGTGCGCGTGCTATCCCCCGGCCACTGTATATTTCGTACATCCTCGATATGAGCACCTACTTCAAGCACCAGGGCAAGTGCGCCGCCAACCTGCGGTCCCACACGATCGACCTGGAGGCCACCCTTCGCCCCACGTACACACCCGAGCAAACCGTCCCCTTACTCCCCCATCCTTCCACCTCCCCACGACGCGGCAGGCGCCCAGCGATCTGGTCGGCCTCGACGCGCTGCACAAAATGTCCACCGGGAGGAGAGTGGCGACCATGCGCGGCGGCTGCTTTTCGACGCGGCATCCTGATTGCCATCTACGGCTGCTTGCCTCCTTTCCCACAAACATCGCATCCATCCCCCTCCCTCAGGCCGCGCGAGGGCTCCAACGACGCGGCGCTAAAGCGGCAGAGCGAGTCGGTTCCCTCGCAAGTCTTTCTCGACCCGTACCACGTGCGTTGCATGCAAGACACCGCGTATGTCCGTCCCCGGCCCACCATTACGACGCACACACAGGTCGGAGACGGCAACCTTTTCTCGGACCGCCTCAGCAGCGGCGCCCCAAATGTGCGAATGGAGCAGTACCAGCTTGGCGGGCAGACGTGCAAGGATATCGCCCTGCCAAGACCGAGCCGTGCCATTCATCGCAACTGCACTGTGCCATTCCTTCCCTCAGGCTGCGCGCGGTCGTATGCTCGTTTGGGACAAGGAGAGGCCGCCCGATCTGGGCCCTGAGGCGCGCAAACGCTCGCGCTACGTCACTCCTCCGCAAGGACGGTTTGTGCCTCCGCTCAAATCGTGGTGCGCCGAGATCGCGCTTCATCGCGGGTTCCCATGCCGCCCTCCCATCTGGCTCCTCCCTTCGCCCCGCTCAGGTGCGCGCGGGCGATGAGCTCGACCGATCCCTACGGAATCGGCGACCGCCCGTGCATCGGCGTCATCCAGGACACCGCCTTTCGCCGGACGGTAGAAGGGCCGGCAGCGGCGTCGTCACGGCCAGAGTGGTCTACTCACTCGCTCTCGCGGGGCGCGCGCGTCGTGTAGAATGGTAGAACCGCCGATCTGCTTATAATGGGCCTCGCAGCGGTCCGTCGGTCGCGGTGCGCACTTGTGACCACACTTGTCACTTGCTGTTACGAGCTTGTTCAGAGAGAGAGCAACGCCAAGATCACCTTCACGCTTCACCTCGAGCCCTTCACCCCACTTTGATGAACGGTTCGTAAGCATAGCACGAAAAAGAAAAAAACCCAAGAGAGGGGTTGGAGGGCGGGAGAATCCAAAAAAGCCGTCCAAAAAGCCACAAAAAGCCAGCGAGCCTCCCGTTACGCGATTGCCGCGAAGCGCAGCATGATGCGTGGCCAGCTTGGGAGGCTGCCGCCGCTGTCAGAGGCGGCCGCCACTGTGAGGTCTCGAGGGCCGACCGGCCGGGCGAGCATCCGCGCTGCCAAATCCGCGGCGAGCCTGCACAGCAAAACGTATATGCTGCTCTCGCGACTGGAGCGGCCGCAGGGGCGCGAGAGCGCGGCTTCGAGCTGCCGGCGCAGCCAGAGGGCAAACCCATACGTGCTCGTGCTCCTCCTTCGCTGTCCCATCGTCTCCTCATCTCTCTCCCACCTAGGCGGGGCGGGGGTCGGGGGGGCGGCGGGCGCGGGTGCGAGGTGCGGTGCGGTGCGTGCAATCGTGTGTTTGGCGTCATGTCGTGTGTGCCTTCGCTTGTTCCTATAAACAACGAAGTCGAGCTCAAAAAGAAAAAACTGCAACCCACTCCGCTGCCGACACGCCGGAGCGGTGCCAGGAGCGGTGCCGGGCCCGCTGCCGACGCGCCGCAGGAGCGGTGCCGGGCAGCGCTCCGCCGCCGGTTCGCCTCTCATGTTGCTCCCGCTGCTCGTGCCTCTGGCGGCCGCCTCGCTCATAGCCGGTCACTCATCGTCGCTCAAGGAATTTGCAAGACCGCTTCGCTCACCGCCGCCGCTCCTTTCAGCGTCTCGCCGGACCGGGCTCCCTCCTCGCCTCGCCTCGGCAGCTGCGACTGGCGCGCTCGTCCTCGTTGACGTCGAGAATGTCCGCGGCAAGTCTGGGTTCGAGCTCAGCCACGACGAGCTGCTCGAGCGCGCGACCCATTGGGCTGCGCACCGCCGCCTACGTGGTGCGGTGTCGCTGGTCGTCGATCACGGCAGCCTACCCTCGGCATTCTGGCTGGAGCGGCAGGGGTTGGCTGTGATCTTTGCGGGACAGCGCCTCAAGGCAGACGACGTGATTGCGCGAGACGTCTCATTCGCGACGCGTCAGCTGCGCACTGACGTTCTCGTCGTCACCGCGGACCGCGAACTCACCCAGCGTTGCCGCGCTGCCGCACGCGACAGCGTGAACAAGCTCGGCATCATCTCCCCCTCCTCTTTCATCGAAGACCTTGCTCGTGCGCAAAAGGAGAACGGCGGGGACGGCTCGGCAGGCGGGTTCCCCTGGGCAGCCGCGGAGGAGGTGGCCTCGGAGGAAACACTCCCTGCTGCCGCCGCCGCTGGTGCCGATGCTGTGGAGAGCGAGATTATGGAGGCCGAGATCGCGCTGGGCGGTGCGGTTCGCGATGCCGAGGCGCGGCTGCGGCGCAAGCGCGTCTCTCCACGCAAGCGTGCCAAGCTGCGCCGCCAGCTCGCGTCGCTCAAGGACAAGTACTCCGCTCAGGCCGGAGGCGCTTCCGGCTTGGGAGGGCCGTCGGCACTGCAGCGCGCCGTCGCAGCCCCGGGAGCGGGCCTCGGCGAGGGCATGGGACGGCGGGAGCAGGACCGGCTGCTGGCACGCTGGCAGTACAGTCTGCGCCTCAGCGGTCGGAGAGAGCTCACGGCGCGCCTCACCTCCCTCTCTCGCTCGGCGGTCTCTCCCCCTCCCCCGCACCCTCCTCGGAGCCTCCCTCGCAGGGTGACCGCGTGCTGCTCGCGGAGCGATTGCGACGGCGGCTCGACGCGGCGGTGGAGTCAGTCGCCACGCCTTCTCCCGCCGGCGCGGATGTGCGCGCGGCGCCAGCCAGAGCCCATGCTTTGCACGCGACCAGCCTGGGCGGTGCGCGCCGCTTCTCTGCAGCTCATGCTCCCAACGCCCCTTCGGATGGTGGGACGGGGGCGGCTGCGCCGGCGGAGGGGATCGGCGCCCCGCGACGATCCGTTCCTGCCCGGAGTGCACAATCGGCCGTCGCCTCGGCCGCAGCCCCGGCCGCTGCCCCTCCCCCGCCGCCCCTCCGCATCGTCGTCGTGTCAGACACGCACGGCTTCGAGGCGGCGCTCACCACTGACGCGTCGCTGCTTCCTTGGATGCCGACCGAGGCCACCGCCGCCTCGAGCCGCGCGGAAGCTGCGGCGGCAGACGCTTCGGGAGGCAAAGTTGCGGCGTGGCGCGACGCGGCGGCCGCGCGCCCGCCCGGAGGCTCGTCCGGTGCGGCCAACAGCGCGGAGGCTGTTGCTGCAGTGGGCCTCCCTCTGCCAGAGGGGGACGTGCTTCTGCATCTCGGGGATTTTGCTGTCGACGGCGCGCACATCTCGCCGCATGCTCGCCTCGTCACGCCTCGTCACCTCGCCTCACCTCGCCTCACCTCGCCACATCTCGCCACTGCTCGCCACATCTCGCCACATCCCCATACCTCCCGCACACAGGCGGGGCGCGGCATCGGTTCGAGGCTCTCGAGCGTTTCGACGCTTGGTTATCGTTGCAGCGATTCGACCACAAACTTGTCCTGCGCGGCAACCACGACCCGTTCAACGTCGCGTTCCCGCGCTCCAACGCCACGCTCATCACCCAGCCCACTCTGGCAACCATCGGCGGCTGGACCCTCTCGCTCGTCCCCTTCTCCCGAGGCGGCCGCCTTGTCGTACCCCCCGGCGACCTGATAGCCAGCCACGTGCCTCCGAAGCGCATCCTCGACCGAACCTACTCGGGCGACCGCGCCGGCTCGTCTGCGCTGCGCGGCGCCGTGGAACGTTGGACCGCCCCGCCACCCCGGGTGTGGCTGTGCGGGCGAGCGGCCCGACGGCGCAACTGTCTGCACTCGCCTTTCGGCCTTTCACGCCGACGTCATGGAGTGGTCCTAGGCACATCCACGAGGGGCGCGGCTGCGAGCGCGTGCGCTTCGGCGGGCGGGGACTGCATGCGTCGCGGGAGACGCTCGTGATCAATGCCGCAAACGCGAACAGCGGCCGAGCAAACCGGTTGGTGCACGGGCCTGTGGTGCTGGACCTCGGCGCGGAGACCGCGTCTCTTGTCGCCGACTCGCCTGACTCACCCACCGAAGTTGCCGCCGCCGCCGCCGCCGTGGCTGCAGTGCCCGCCGCAGTCTCGCCGATTCGCCCGAAACCGGTGGCTCCTCCCGAGGCGACCGGGACGGGCGTGCAAGACCGCGGCGGGGAACGCGGCACAGAGGCGGCCGCGGTCGGTGCGCTGCTCCTAGCAGTCGATCTCGGCTTGCGGAGCGGTGCGAGTCTGTTCTCGGCAGACGGGGAGCTTCTGCGGTACGAGCAGCTTCGCTTTGCAGACGAGACGGCGCTGCGGGAGGAGGCGCCGCAGCTCATCGCCTCGTGGGAGGCCGATGTCAACGCGGCGGCGGCGGGCCAGACGAGCTCCGCAGCCGCGCCGCGCCGTTGGGCCATCACGCACGTGGCGATCGAAGGTGGAGACCCGCCATTGTGGGAGGCGTGGGGCGAGGCACACGGCGCAGCGCCGCTGAGTGTGTCTGCCGACGAGTGGCGGCGCCATCTCTTGACGAGGAAGGAGCGATCCTCGGGGAGCTGCGCCAAAGCAGCGGCGAGGCTAGTGGCGCGCCAGGTGGTCGCCGACTTTGGGGCGATGGAGGCTCACGTCGGCGCTTTCAAGACGGATGCCGCCGAGGCGGTGCTCATGGGCTATTACGTGGCGATCGCTGGCTCTCGCCGGGCGGCTGTTGTTATCTCAGTTACTAATGATTGATGATTGACTGATAGGCGTACCGTCTCGGCTGGACTACACGGGAGCCGCCGATCCGCCGTTTCTCCAACGGCAACGTGGTGCTGCCGAAGGTGACTGCCAAAAAATAAGAGCCACCACATACACTGGACGCGGTGAGTTCCGACAACGGTGGGCCTGCAAAGTGTAAAAGATGAGCGTGACACGATGAAAATACAGTTCCGGACGGGCATTAAGAACCTCTAACGTTAAGAACCTGAGGCTCATATTTCGGCCGGATCCCTAAGAACTCCCTAAGAACCTGAGGCTGGGCCAACGCCTGCAGCCGGCGCCCCTGCCCCCGCGGCCGCAGCCGCAGGGGCAGCTCACGGCAGCGAATGACTCTCTTGTCACGCCATGCGCGAACTTACTGTTCCAAACTTCCAAACTGTTTTAAGACCCATTTATTGATTTTTAATCGAAGCCGAAACGGTTTAAAAAACCATCCACCCGGTTAAGAACCTGAGGCTCGGCCCCCGACGGACCGCCGACTTAGCTAAGAACCTGAGGCTGGGCGAAGAACCTGTGCGTTCTTAATGCCCGTCCGGAACTGTATGTGAAACCTGCGGGCCTCTGCCTCGCCAACGGCCGCCGCAACCGGCGCACACACACATGCCGACCCCTCCCAACGGCGACGCGGCACGCGCGGCTGCGGGCGCGACAAGCAAGGCGGCGGCGGTGGCGCGGCAGCAGGAGGCGGAGCTCGCCGTTGAGCAGCGGCGGAAGGCGATTGTCGCGTCCTTCGAGGCGCAGCGGCGCGCTTTGGAGGCAGAGCGAGCAACGCGGGCTGCCGATGTGTCCGTCGCAGCAGAGAGTCCGGTCCCGGTTCCAGCCGCGGCGACTCAGACGCACTGCTGGCGAGAGCGATTATTCGTCCCAGTAACACCACCCTCGCTCCCGCTGCCGCCTCCGCCGCCGCCTCGCTCCGGAGCAGCTTTCTCTGTGGAGAAGGCCATTGCGGCGCTCAAGACAGTGGATGATGCGGCAGCGTGCGTGACGCTGCTGGAAGGCCTGCGCAGTGCCGTATCGCCATACGGGGGGTTTGGACCTCGCCAGGGTACCAGCCTCCGCGAACGTGTCGCACGGAACGGGGGAGTACCTGTCGTCGTGTCTGCCCTCGCCGCCCACGCCGCAGACAGGCGCGTGGTCAGAGCCGCGTCACAAACACTAGCAGTGCTCGTGGAGGGCAGATCGGCCGATGCTGACGCGGCCTGCGCCGCCGGTGCGCCGGCTATGCTTGTCATGGCCGCTCTCTCGACTCGCGAAGGAGCTTCTGGCGACGACGAAACGACAGCCGCATGGTGCGCGGCCGCATTGCAGGTGCGCCTGCAGAGTGGAACCTTGCCCGAGCCGAAAGACGCTTCACTCCAACGATCACCCCTCATCGCGCGCAGGCCATCGCTGCCGCCTCGGAGCGCGGCTGCCTCGCCGTCTGCGACGCCGATGCGGCAGTCATGGCCGTTCGCCTATCCAAGAGCAATGCTGCCGCGACGACATCTGCGGCTCTGGCACTTCTGGCGTCGATGTGCCGCACGCAAGCGGTGCCTGGCTGGGCGCCATCGGACGGGTCCGCCAGCTCCATGATCATCACTCTCGACGCGCTCGATAGGGATTGCGAGCGCTGCTGCAGGCCGACGGCACCGCCACCGCTTGCGCAGCACTCCAGCAGCACTCCAGCGACGTCCGGACGACCCACCTGGCAGCGCTACACATCTTGCTCGCCGTGTCTCGCACCGCGAGGCGATCGGGGCGCGGCGGCGGCACCCGCGCGGCCACGGCGGAGGGCGAGGTGGCGGCATCAGATGCTCGGCCTTTGGTCACGGCAGAAGCTCGGCCGGCAAGCACGAAACAGGCGACGCCGCTCCAAGACTCGGCGTTTCGCACCGACGTCGAGTCGATCCTAGCCGCGGCGCCACCGATGACAGTGGCTCGAGCACTGCCAGTCGTGAGACGTGCTATCGAGCAGAGGCGACAGCTACCGCGGGGAAGTTTGTTGGACGAGCAAGCTGCCATTGAGCGCGAGGTGCGCTGTGCACACCCGCCGGCGCATGCTAGAGTTGGCGGCGGCGGTCTCTCTTTCTCTCCTAGTTCCACCCCGCGTTCACACTCCTCGCCTATGCTTACGAGGTGCGACGCGTTAAGGCGTCCGCCGCGACGCGGGGAGCACCGCATGCGGAGGCGGAGGCGGAGGCGGTCGCTGCGGCAACTGCCGCGACTGCGCTGAAAGACTCCGCTCGGCTGGCGGTGTGGCACGAGGGGATGCCGACTAGCCTTGTGCGTGCTCTGGATACGTCGACCGCGGCGACCGGCCGTGCCAGCTGGAGAGTGCCCGTCGCTGTGTGCGAGGTTGCCGCCCTAGAGCGGCCTCCCTGGCTGGACACACGTGAGATGACCCCACTGAAACCGAGTAGGTGCTCGAGGCGCTGCTGTCCACTGGCGGTGCCCTCGACAGCGACGACGGACGACGTGTACTAGGGTCCGCCGGACTCGAGGGCGCACTCTCGCGGGCCATGGCCGCGTCGCCGCACGGAGAAGTGAGCAACCGCCACGACGATTTGCCAGAGCGGTACGCGCCAAGTGCAGGCGGTGGCTCAAACGTCGTGCGAGCAGCGTCTAGGGCGATGAGCTTGCTCAAGGGGCGCGAGCGGTGATGCGGGTGAGTGTTCAGCGCATTGGCCGTGGGTTTTGCGGGGCACACTCCTCACACACACACACACACACACACACACACACACACACACAGAGAGAGAGAGAGAGAGAGAGAGAGAGAGAGAGAGAGAGAGAGAGTAAACTCCTCCAATTCCGCTCAACGCGTGAACGACTCTCATGAGTTCTCAGGATCGGTCGTATGTCTACTTCTCGCAGGTGCCCACCCTCACAGCACTGTTCATATGAAGTTCATCGATATTGCGGTTTGCGCGTGAGCTGCCACACCACTCACTCTTTATGTGCTGAACACACAGAGTGCACCCCACCGCGCACCGGGAGACCGGGACTCCGGGACCGGGGGCGGGACCGGTCGCCGACTTGGTCGCCGCGAGTCGGCGGTGACCGGAGCGTGTGACACGCGCTGTGTACCGCGCCGCACCCGCGCGCCGTGCGCGGCAAAACCGCCTTCGTCCCTCGAGAGAGATGCGTTTTCACTTTTTCAGAGTACACTGTCACTGACCGACAGACGTAAAGCCATGCGGCACATGTGCGCTCTCTCTTCCAGATGACATGAACATGCACAAGGAGAATCATGTGGACTCGTACAACCTGGGGTACCGGTATGGACCTCGAGGTATGGAGATGGACATGGCCGTAACGTGCCGCTGCCCATGCTCGGGACGGCGACTCGCCTCTCACACGACGCGTGTGGCGCCGAGAAGCGCCTCGGCAGAGACGACACGCGGCAGAGACGGCTCGATCGGGCTAGAGAGGAGCATGGCGCCAAAGGCGGAAGAGAAGGGGATGACGGCATGGTCAAAGGGGAGCCCGAGCTCGCGCTCGTCGCCCGTGCGCGCGTGCCTGATCCTCGCGCCGCTCATCAGGAGAAGCGGGAAGGAGGCGGCAGCGAGAAGCTGCAGCCGGGACGGAAGAGCGGTGGCGCTTTGCGCCCCGAGCGAGACGCCTATTCAGACGCACTCGGGGCGGCTCTCCTCGCAACCGCTCTCCGCCGCTGCACGCGCCGGGGGCGCGCGCCGAGGCTGGCCGAGGCGAAAGCGGTGAAGAGCCAGCCGTCTGAAATGGCGTCCAAGTCGTGCTTGAGCTGCGCCGAGGTGCGACAGAGCGAGCCGACGAGGAAGGCCGACGCGGCGGCGGTGCAGAGCGTCGCGACGGCGGCGGCCGTGAAGGGCGGCCCAAACTTGAGGTGCGAGAAGGCGATGCCCGCCATCCCGAGAGTGACGGTCGCTATGGCCGGGTTGATCTCGTCGTGGTACAGAGTCAGCTGGATGGCGAGCGTGGCGAGCGCCGCCAGGACGGCGAGCGAGACCTGGAAGGGGGTCGACTGCGCACGCCGCGCCGTCTTTGCGGCCCCAGCCTTGGACCCGGCCAGGAGCGAGGACACGCTTCCAATCCGCGGGACCCGCGAGCCAGGGAGCGCGAGCAAGGTGCCGAGCAGGAATGCGAGGACCTCCGACGCCGGCGCCTTTATCAGAGCCGTCTGGTGGTACACGAGCCCGTACCGGGCAGCCTTGAGCAGGAGCGTGGCGGCGAGAAGGCGGCAGAGGCGGCCGCGCGGCATGGGGTCAGAGCCGAGGATGGCCCCGTGGCCAAGATTAGCCAGGGACCGTATCCGCCACCTCCTCTCGAGCTGTCCCACGACGAACACCACATCGTGGGCCGAGAGGGCGAGGACCGAACCGGTCCGTATGCCCTCTAGAGCGAGCGTGCCGGCGCTAATGGCCGCCGAAGCGGCCCGCTTCCGGCCGGCGAAGTGCAGAGCCGCGTATGCAGCGCTGAGCGCGAGTATCGCGACGATGTTGATCGTTAGCGCCCAGCGCACGGCGGACACCTCTCCGCGCGCGACAACATCAGACCAGCGCGCCAGCTGGGCGGTCGCCAGTGCAGTGGACAAACATAGCCACACCTGCCTGATCATGATCCCGGGGATCGTCCAATCGCCAGCCTGAGCCGCCGCCGAGCCCGCGGGGGGATCCAGGCCGTCGGACCGAGGCGGCGGAGGCGACGGAGGCGCAGAGTAGAGCTGGGGAGACGGCGTGTCCGACAGGCTGGCGTCGTATAGCCACCCGGAGGAGGCGCGGGCGAGCTGGCTCGACGGGCAGCCTGGCGCCGTGTGCGTCGGTGGCGCGAACATCTCCCGGCCCGTGTACGCGTCGTGCGGCGGCGGACACGCGTGCGGCGGCGGACACGCGTGCGGCGGCGGACACGCGTGCGGCGGCGCTCCGCCGCCGCCACCCCCTGCGTGGCGGGGGTCGACCTCAAAGAAGCTGCGCAGCGCGGCCATCTCCCCAATCTCGAGCGAGAGCGCGTCGACAAAGTCGTTGAGCGGCCAGCCGGTCACGGCCCGCGCCCCCTGCGCCGGGGGCACCGGAAGAGCGGGCTCCAAGACGAGAGCGTTTGCAAACGCTGGTGAGTCGGGCGGCGGCCGAGCGACTGCGGCCTGTGCCGGAACAAATGCGGTTGCTGGCAGCGGCAACACCGGTGTGAGTGTCCTTCCGACGCGGAACTCGACCAAGACGGTGCCAGCGACAGCGCCGGCAATGGGCGAGAGCGGTACGAGGCCGGGCAGCGCGCCCAGCGCCTCGTCCCGCAAAACGACCAGCGGAGGCCCGGAGCAGTCTGAGGTTTGATTCACGACCCGCCACGGCGGCCACGGCGGCAACGTCAAGTTTTGCGTGCATTCGTTCCACGCGCCGGTCGTGTGCGCATTCTTCAGGCTGCGCTCGCGAGGGGCCATGTAGATGCGCGAAGACTCGATGTGTACGCCCCCCGACCTGCAGGCGCTGCAGAAATGCTCGCGAAAGGCCCCGCCGTTGATGGAGACGACGAGACGTTCGCATGCATTCGGATTCCGCGAGATCTCATAGCCCCAGCAGACGACCGAGTGACTCGTTCGCTTGCGCCTCTTGCTAGACGCCTTGTCGGCTTTGGCGTCGATGGGAGGGCTCCCGGCAGACGCGCCGCAGAGCGCCACCATGCTCTCAGGCGACAGCGCCGTGGGTTGCGATAGGTCGCCACCGTCGTCGGGGCTGCCTGTGCTCGACGACGACATGGCACTAGGGCAGCGGCCTGCAGCCCGTGAGATCGTTGTCATCTCTCTCCCTCTCTCACCGAGCTACTCGTAGGGCCGGGCAGCAGCAACCTCGAGAACCGAGGGGCGGAAGTGTCGGGCAGACTTCTACGTGTGACCCGAGCGAAGACTGGAAGCGCGATTTTTCTTTTTGTTAGCCTTCGATGTAATGAAACAAACGAAGGCGGACATGGCATATCGCTCTCGGGCCCACAGACATCCCGCACACCCGCCGCCCCCGCGCGCGCCCCACCCCGGCCGGGAGAAAGGGGAGTGACAGTTTGGGATTGAAAGTCGATACCTCGCACTCCACATGTGCGAGAACGCAGGGTAAATGTAAGCCGGATGGCTCACAGGCCACCTCTTGCGCCCCGAGCTCACCATCTACCGCACTGACCACTTGCGCCCCCTCGGCCTCGCTCCCAACCCATCCACCTCGCCGAGTGCCGAGGTGCTGCAGAACCGCGCGATCACGGGCGATCTCGGACCGCGCCGCGCGATCTCGGTCGATCTCGCGCAATCTCGGAGCTCCACGCCACGCCACTCCCCCCCCCCCCCCCACCCACGCACCCACCCACCGCCTCCTCAAATAACAAGGTCTGTGAAAGTCTCCCCCCATCCCCAGGGCCTCCAGGGCTCGCACCTCAACCTCTCACAGACCAGCGCATAGCGCCATAGGACGTATTTTCTTCTCATAACAAGGCTGTGAAATGGGTGTCAACCATGGCGTAACGGACAAACATGGCCGAACAGCGCGCTGCCCCACGCCGCGGTGCGCGGCGGCGATGCTGGCGGCCTCGCTGCTGGCGTTGCCAGCCGCGCCGCTGGCACGTCGATCGCCACTCACCACGTCTCTCGCCGCGGTGGAGCTCTGCGACGAGGACGTGGCAATGCGCTGCTCTGCTCAAAGCGATGCTGGCTCTGCTGCCGACCCTGAGTGGGAGGCAGTGCTGGCGCAGCAGCTAGCAGAGGAAGCAGAGAGGAAGAGGAGCTCTGCTGCCGCTTCGATCGAGCACGGCTCCGACGACGGGTGGGAGTGAGGAGGAAGGAAGAGGATGGCCACGCTAGGACGGGCGTGGCTGGGAAGGTGAACGAGCCGCTCGAGGAGCGGGACGAGTCCGCTCGTGTCACCGGTGGACGATTCAGTATGCCGCAGGCGGCTCCCACCTTGATGGGTTATCACTCCTGCGATTGCATCGAAGAGGGCTTCAACATTCAACAAACAGGAATCGAGGGTGACCGCGTGTCTGCATCAGGTGTCATCCGTCCCGATCGTGACCAACCAAAGCCACCCCTCTTCTCAGATCAGTGCTTTGCGCCGATCCTGAATCCTCTGCCGCTCCAGCCGTGCTCGCCGAGCCTCCGCCTCCAACTCCGCCGCACCGACCTCCAAAAGATCCAAGAGGGCAGCAAAGAAGGAATCAAAAATTCGGGTTCCACAGGCTGCTGCGCAGTTCGACGCGCACTTCCCGCCCCACTATCGGTACTCGCATGACGACCACCAGGCGCTAGACGTTTTTGGAGCCTGGCGGGAGTCGATCGGCACTCGCGAATTCGACCCTGAGAGCAGAGAGTACAACCTCCTCAGCTCGCTGCTCCGCCGCGCGCTCCCTCGCCCAGCCGTCTTGGGCGGGCCCGCGCGCCCGGGCCTTCCGCCCAAGGAGGCAGAAGACCTTGGCGACTACGACCTCCTCAACCCCTCGTCGGCAGCGCGCCGCAAGCAGGTCCTCCTGGAGGAGGGCTGGCCTCGCGGCGAGTTGCCTTCCAAGGTGGGGTTGCGCGAGCACATGCAGGCTCGCGCTGCGCTGCGGTACAAGGTGGGCCTGGCCTACAATGGCAATGCCGCTGAGACCGGTGAGTACTTGTACGACCCGAGCTACGCGCCGACGCTGGACATCGGACAAGTGGTCCACACGCTCAACAGAATGTTCAATCTCAAAAAATAAAATATTCTTAGCTTCAAGCCCCCCTCCGAGACTGGAGACAGTCACACCCCAGTAGAATGTTCAATCTCAATGTCCCACCCCTCTTAGGCCCGCGGGTAGTCTCCCCCCATCCCCAGGGCCTCCAGGGCTCGCACCTCAACCTCTCACAGACCAGCGCACAGCGCCATAGGACGTATTTTCTTGTCAATAACAAGGCTGTGAATGAAGCTCTCTTCATATTCACAAAAGCACAACCCCGGGCCCGAACGAAATCGCACGACAGCACACAGTGACAGTCAGCCCTCTTCACGCAAACGGGTAAAAGCCCTCGTCACACACAAAAGGAAAAGGAAAAGCGCACGCAAGCCCGAAGAAAGAAAGAAAAGCTGCCGAGCCCAAATCACCGTGAGAGTCGTGATTTCTTGTTGGTTTTCAAATCTCTCTCTCAAGCCCGGGCCCGAAATCGCACAAAAAAGCACAACCCCGGGCCCAACGCAAGACGCACAAGCACAGACAGTCGAGAAGGGAGAGACAGCGACGACAGTCTCAGTCAGAAGAGAGAAGTCACTTAGTCAGCACTGGGTCCCAGAAAGGAAGGCGAACGAATGCGATGACGGCCTCTGTGTGAGCTCAACAGCTAGTGAGCTCATACGCACGCACAGGCAGGCAGATTCGTGCCATACTTAGCTAGTTAGGAGGTACATGCGAGCTTTTCAGAGTCTGGATTTTGGGGCGCTGTGGTGTGTGGACCCTCTAGGCAGTGGACTCTCACAACGATGTATTTTGTTTTTGACAATGTGAACAATCGGTCCCATCACCACCCATGAGCCACGTGCGGGCATTTCTGACAATGTCTGATAAGAATTAAGATGTCTGATATCATCTCAAATGTCGTGACATGAATCATGATACACATCTCATATAGTTTACAAGATAAAGCCGTAGACCTGAATCATGAACGATCTGGTCTCTGTGGTCAATCTGAAGCTTCATGATTCCATGAAGACGACGGTGCTACCCGGGACAGCCGACACCAGCTGCCTGCTCTGTGGGGAGCTAGGCGCCGCACGACCCGCAGCCGCGAGAGCACTCGTCGAACGTCTAAACAGTCATGCCCCCCCCCTTCCCCCCCCCTCCCGCATGTCATGTTCATGTGTTGTGGACGATACCGTGTGGGCTCATGCATGCATGGATGCCTTGAGTGAGATGACGATGGTGGCCCAAGGAGTCCCCGACTGCTGCAGCCGCAGCAACCCCGCCAGCGCGCGGAGAGAGGTGTCAGTCCGCGATGGCGGTGGGGCGTGCGGCGGTGGGCAAGACCGCCCGAGCCGCCGCCGCCGCGGAGGCCGCGAGCGCGTCGAGCGCGCCGCAGCTCTCGGGCAGCGGGGCGGCGGCGAGGTCCGCCGGCTGAGGGGCTTGGAGAGGCGGCGCCACGTGTGGCGCGATGGACGCCTGGCGGGTGAGGCCAGCCAGGGGCAGCAGGCCTGCCGGCAGCGGGGCGGGCGGCCAGGAGGGTGGCGCCGCCGCGCCGACCGTCGCCTGCTCGCGGGCTTGCTCAGTGCAGCCCCAGGCAAGCCGCCAGGCAGGCTGCTGCTGCTGCAGAGGCTGCTGCTGCTGCAGAGGCTGCTGCTGCTGCAGAGGCTGCTGCTGCTGCAGAGGCTGCTGCTGCTGCAGAGGCTGCTGCTGCTGCAGAGGCTGCTGCTGCTGCAGAGGCTGCTGCTGCTGCAGAGGCTGCTGCTGCTGCAGAGGCTGCTGCTGCTGCAGAGGCTGCTGCTGCTGCAGAGGCTGCTGCTGCTGCAGAGGCTGCTGCTGCTGCAGAGGCTGCTGCTGCTGCAGAGGCTGCTGCTGCTGCTGCAGAGGCTGCTGCTGCTGCAGAGGCTGCTGAGGAGGCTGCTGCGGAGGTGGCGGAGGTGCGAGGACCTCCGAGTGGGAGGAGGGGTGGGGCGGCGAGACGTAGCCCGAGCTCTGCGTTAGAGGTGGCCTCCCCCGCTTCCGCCCTTCCGGCGCCTGCTTCCCCTCGTCCGGCATGCCGGCCGAAGGCGCCGCCCCCGTCGCTGGCGGAGGCCAGCACGAGACGGGCGCGGGAGGCCACGCGTGCGCGATGTCGAGCTGCGGCGTCGAGGGAAGCTGGCAAGCCAGCGGGTGGCCGGCCAGCGGTTGGACGGGGAGATGGCACGGCCAGCCGACGGCCGCCGCTGCGACGAGGTGCCCGGGAGGAGGTGGCATGGGAGCCCCGGGCGGCGCTGCGACGAGGCACCCCTGCGGCGGCGGGTAGCCCTGCCAAAGGTAGGAGGGCATCGCCGCAGCGATTGGCTGGCCCGCCGCCGCACCGGCCGGGTTTGGCAGCCAGGAGGGGGGCAAGGCGGGCGGCGGGCGGGCGGCGCGGGCGGCGGGGATCAGATCCGCCGCCGCGTGAGAGCCCGCCGGGGCGAGGGTCCTCCCGACGCGGAAGGAGATCGGCGCCGTCCCCGACACCCGCGCGAGGCCGGGGAGCGAGTCGGACGTCTCGTGCCGCAGGATGACGAGCTTTGGCCCCGTGCAGCCGGACGTCTGGTTGCAGACGCGATGCGGCGGCCACGGTAGCGTGTCGCCCTGGCCCGGCAGGCAGTTCCAGACGCCGGCCGTTCTCTGGTTCCACCGCCGCATCGGGACGCCGTCGCCGGTGGCCACCCGTATCCGCGAGGAGGGGATGGCGAAGCCCTCACTCCGGCACCGAAGACAAAAGTGCTCCTGGCGCGGCGCGTGACGGGGTGAGAGTGCAGGACGTGAGAGGAGCTCGGCGTGGGGACGCGTGAGGAGCGTGCGAGAGCGGCAAACAGCGGGGCGTGAGCAGTGGGAGGCGCACCCGGAACGCGCTTGACCGCGGAGACACCGGCTCGCACTCGTAGGGGAGGGAACCGCCCGACAGCTCGCGAGCCCAGCAGACGAAGGCCGACCGTCGCAGCTTGCGCGGCTGCTTTTCAGGCTTGCCAACCGTGGGTGGGCTTTCCATGGGATTGGTCCGCCGACTTTTAGAGTGCACGTTCACAGAGCACACGCCGTTCACAGACAGTCGAGAAGGGAGAGACGGCAACGAAATCACAAGCACAGACAGTCGAGAAGGGAGAATGAGCATCTGCAGTTGGCGACGGTATATCCTACCGTCGCCAACTGCAGCATCAGAGCAGTCTCGCCCACTTCGCCCTTCGCGCGCTCTCTCGCTCGTCGCTGCGGCCTGCGCGGGAGACGCTGCCCACTGTCTCCGCCCCTGCCCTCCCGCTTGAGCCGCCATCGCGGCGGCCCTCAGGGACAAGGTACGGTGGGCGCATAAAACAAATATTGCGTGCGAAGCGTGTGCGTGTGCCGTCGTCACACGGCGTGTCCCCCGTGTGTGTGGCTGTGGGCCGGGGGGCGAAAAACAAAACGGCCAAACGGCGGCCCTAAACCGTTAAACGGGCGTTTTCGGACCCCGCGACTTTTTCGATTGGCGTCCCACCGGCACCGCCCGAGTCACCGCCTCCCGAACCCGCCCCCCACGCCGCTCCTCGCCATCGCGCGCTTGAGCGCCACGCGGAGGCCGAGCGCGAGCGCCTCGTGCGAGCCCGGCTCCGTCGCGGCGAGCACCGCCTCGTCGTCCGCCAGCGCCGTCTGCTTGAGCAGCGGCCGCGCGTGCGGGTGCGCGCGCAGCAGCGCCTCGTCGGCCGCGGCGGCCGCGGGGTCGAGGAAGCCGTAGTGGCCGAGGAACTCGGCGTTGGAGGTGCCGCTCGTGCCGTACACGATCTCCACCTGCTCGCCCGCGCCGACCGGCGCGCCGGCGAGCACGCGCAGCATCCCGTCGGTGCGGCCGGCGAGCCGGTGGGGCGACGACGCGCGGTGGTTGAACATGTCGAGCCACGGGATGAGCAGCTTGTGCCCCCTGCCGTCCGCGCCCTGCACCGTCAGCACGCGCGACTGCACCAGCCACACCGCCCACTGCAGCTCGCGCCGCGCCGCCTCGCCCGCCGCGCCGCCCTCGCCCTCGCCGCCGCCGCCCAGCGCGCTCTCGATGTCCGCGGCGCGGCGGCGCACCTCCTCCGCCAGCGGCGGCCACTGGCACAGCTCGAGCGTCGCCTCGCCCCAAAAGTCGGGCGTGCACAGGTCGGGCGAGTCCGGCTGCGGCAGCGTCGCGTAGTAGGGCTCGCGCGCGCCGCCAGCGTCGCGCGCGCGCGCCTCGAGCAGCGCGCGCGCCGCCGGGAGTGGGTCGTCGCCCTGCGCGCCCAGGTCGACGGCGCAGCGCGCGGGCACCGCGACAATCTCCTCGCCGGCGTCGATCCGCCGCGTCGCCATCAGGCCGCGCAGGCCGCCAAAGTCGGCGATGGCGACGGCTCCCAGCTTGGCGCCCTCCGCCTCGAGCCACCCGCGCAGCGACTCGTACGCCGGGTCGACGAGCGCGACGCCGGGCGGGCTCGGCGGCGCAGAGGCCGCAGGCGGCGACGGAGGCTGCGGCTTCCTCCTCCGCACCGGCGCGCCGCCCTTCCGCTTGGCGGCGAGCATCGCCGGCGGCCGGGACCGCGCCGGCGTCCGCAATGCGATGGAGGACGAGACTAGCAGAGCTAGCAGCAGCAGCGGGGCGAGCGGCCGCCGAGGTGTCATTTCATGTAGCGAGCGGACTCGGAAAAAAAGAAAAAAGGAGCCGCGCACACTCGATGGAGTTCTTTTTTGGGAAAAAGAAAACGGGGGCACGCAAAATCGTAAGAGCTACATACACTGAAAATGCAAAGCCCGTCAGCAGTTCACCTACGGGTATGTTCGTAAGAGGAGCTACATACATTGAAAATGGTGGAGAGGAGCGTCCCGGCGCTGCCTGGGCTCGCTCGAGTTAGCGGTATTGGCCTGGCCCCGCTCGTAATTCTTCTTTTACTTTGAATTGATGGTGGCTCCGGCTGCCTCTGCCTCTCGCCCCAGCCCCAGCCCAATGTTGAGCTCGCCAATGCCTCGCCGCGACAGCCTGTCGCTCCCGTTCTCCGCTTCACGCCGCGACTCCTCCGGCCAGCCTGTCCGTGGCGGCTCGGCGGCGGCAAAGCCAATCCTCTGGTCTGGCGCCCGCCGCCGAATGCCGCTCGGCCCCGCAACCCCCAACTCGCCGACACCCCGTGCCGCGACGCCAAAGTTCTCGCCCGTCATCTCGTCGGGCGCTCGCCGCGACGAGGCCGCGGTCGCCGCGAACCTGGCCCTTCGCGCTGTGGCCGCGACGCCGAGGCAAGGCAGGGCGGCGATGCCGTCGCTCCTCGGCAGTGGCGCTCGTCGCGCGAGCAGCGTGGCGCCGATCGCGTCTCCGTCGACCTCGCCGCCGCCGATAGCGGGCCAGCCGCGCGCCTTTGGCACGCCCTCCTCCGCCTTTCGCCGCCCTCCGCAGCGGATCGCCATCCCGGCCGACGACGAGGCGCCGTCGCCGTCGGGGCCGTCGCCGTCGGAACCGTCGCCCACGGAGGAGGTGTCGGCGGTCGAGGAGGAGGAGGTGTCGGAGGGCGCGGCGCCGGGCTCTCCGCTCGCGCCCACCACGCCCGCCGCGATGCCTCCGCCCGACACCGACGCCGGCATCCGCTCGGGGGCGAGGCGGCAGCCAGCCGGCGGAGGAGGGGTGGCGGCGTCGCCCCTCGCGCCGCCAAAGTCTCCGGGGCTCGCCCTGCGGCCCGCAGAGGCGCCGAGCTCGGGGCGTGCGCTCAGGCTCGTGCAGGTGCGCGCGTCGGCGGCGCAGCGCGCCCAGACGGGCAGCGAGAGAGTCGTCACTCCGGCGAGGCGCTCGACGCGCGTGCAGGCGGCGGCGGAGCCGACGGAGAGGCTGCTCGAGGAGTCGGACTACGCGTACGCGCCCAATCTCGCGCTCGCGCCCGCGCGAGAGCCAACCTCTCCCGGCGGCGCCGCCAACGAGGCTGCTCTCGATGAAGCGGAGGCAGCGGCGGCAGCGGCGGCGGCACCGGCACCACCAGTGGCGGCGGCGGCGGCGGCCGCCGCCGCCAAGCCGTCCGCGATTCCACGCCCGCGGCTGCGCTCCACGGCGCAGCGGTGAGGTCCACGCGCGAACAATGTGCTTGCGGGTGCGAGGTTGTGTAGTGGGAGCGCGGACAAGCGGCTCTGCTGCTCTGCGGAGCTTTTGCCGTCTCAACTCTCTGCCGTCGGCGGTGGCGTCGGCGGCGTCGAGCGGCGCGCGAGCTGGGCTTTGCCCTGGGTGTCCATGATAGGTGGGCGAGAGATGCCAGCAGGGAGGGGACAGGGCGTGTGACTCAGGGGGGATGCAGGAGAGAAGCGCCGCGGGCCCGCGGCCTCACCACACGCAGCGTCCCATATGCGTCGTCCAGTAGGAGTAAAAAATCACGCAAAAAGCGCCCACCGGCGGGCACGTGCGTGCGGCGTGCGGGGACCGGGCTCCGGGGTGAGCCGCGTGAGCGCGCTGTCGCATCGGCGTTCGGCGGTCGGGCTCACGAGTCACGTCCCTCACTTGGGACTTGGCTCTGCACACTGCACAGCCACACAGGTTTTGGGGACTGTGGACTGTGCGGGGGCCGGAGGGGGGGCTCGCCGCCGTGCGCCGGCGCGCGAGATCCTGCGGGGACTGAATAGCGAGTCGACGTCGCAGAGAAGGTGGCATGAAATCGTAGTCGCGTGCTGATCAGAGCGGCGGCGGCGACGCGCCTTCCACACGGCTGCGGCGACGTGCGGCGAGCGGCTGAGCAAAGTCAAGAGCTGACGCCGCCCGCCGCCGGCTCCTTGGCGGCGCCCTCACCTCCCTCCTCCTCCTCGTCCGCCTCCGGCTCGGCCTCGTGCGAGCTGAGGTCGATGAGCCGGTTCGACTCCTGCGCGGCGACGCGACGCCTCAGGCGAGCCCGGAGGGAGCGGGAGCGGTGGCGGTGGCGGTGGCGGGGGTGGCGGCCCCAGGGCGGAGGGAGGGAGTGTGTGTCCACCGCGCGAGGGCGGGAGAGGAGAAAAGTCGCGCGTCGTGAGGCGCTCCTGCGCCAGCGTCGAGATGCGCACGCGCCCCTTTCGCCGGATGTAGCTGCTCACTGCCTGCAGCTCGTCGCGCGAGATGAAGATGAACTTGCCGCGGTCGTCGACCACGCCCGTCACGTACCCCATCGCCTCGAGCGAGCGCAGCCGCGCCACGAGGTCCGCCGTCCTGGTGTGTGCAGGCTCGGTGAAGGGTGTGGAGAAGGGGCCCTGCACGGCATGCCTTCGCCTCGCGTGGCTGCCAGGGCCACGGATGCAGTGAACACGGCTGCAGCACAGCTCCAGAGTCCAAGGATCCTCCTCCGCATCTAGTTCCGCCGTCTTGAGGCCAAACTCGGCGCTCAGCTGCTCGAGGGTCGACACCTTGCGCCGCTGCAGCGTGGTCACAAAGCGGACCAGCAGCCCCTCCTCCTCCTCCGCGCCCTCGCCCGCGTCGCCCGCCTCCTCCACCTACCGCACACAACCGCCAAGCAACCTGTCGCGGTCTGGGCTCTCGCCTCGCCGCCTCCGCCGCGCCGCCGCGCCTCGAACATGCCCCGCCACGCGTCGTACTCCTCCTTCGCCTTCTGCTCCGCCTCCTCCTTCTTCCTCCGCCGCTCCTCCTCCCGCTCCCGCTCCCGCTCCTGCCGCTCCTGTGTGCGCGCCAGGCCGCAGCCGTCACCTCGACTAAGCGGCGTGGGCCGCGGGGCGGGCGGCGGGGCGGACGGCGGGGCGGTGGCGGGTGGCGGGTGGCGGGTGGCGGGTGGCGGGTGGCGAGTGGCGGGTGGCGGGTGGCGGGTGGCGGGTGGCGGGTGGCGGGTGGCGGGTGGCGGGGAGGCGAGCGGCGGCGGCAGAGGAGAGGGTGGCGGGTCATCGGCGGGCAGGCTGTGGCAGAGGAGAGGGTGGCGGGTCATCGGCGGGCAGGCTGTGGCGGGTGTGAACGGTCGCTCTCCACTACGGCGGCGGCGGCACGGCGCCCGCCTCCTCCTTTGCCCGCCGCGCCGTCTCCTTGGTCTGCGCTCGCTCGTCGCCGTCCTCCCGCAGCGCCTCGCGCTGCTGCCTCTCCTCCTCCTGCTCGGCCCGCTGCTCGGCCTTACGCTGGCGTCGCGTCCCACCGGCGTGGTCGTCGTCGTCCGCCGCTGCGGGCCCGGCATCGCCGCCCGCGTCGCCGCCCGCCGCGTGCGCCTTCTTGAGCTTTGCCAGGCCCTTGTTCTTCTTTCGGTTGCCGCCGAGCTCCTTCTCGGCCGTCTTGGCTGCCCGCTTCTTGGCGGCCGCCTCGTCGGCCGCCGCCTGCCTCGCGGCGCGCGCCTCCTCCTCGCCGGCCTGCGTCTTCTGCTGTCTGAAGAGCAAGACGAGTGGGACAATCATCGCGGCGACGAGCACGACGAGTGCGAGGACGGCAGTGAGGTTGTCGCCGCCCATAGCGCGCGCTGGGGTTCGGGCTGCGCGTCAGGGTGGGAAGCAAATCTGGCCAACCCCTATTCGGTGATTAAAATCGTGGTGGCGGCGTGCCATCCTTCCATCCTGTTTCTTTTTACCTATGTGGTGAGGCGGCCCCCGGGGGCGCAAGAGTGCAGGAGAACTTCTGCGCCGCCGGCGAAGATCTGCGCCGTTGTAGCGCGCTCTGCGCCGCCTCACTCACTCACCACATATAGGGAGGGAATGGTTCTCCCTTCATTTCCCGAAAAAGAATTCACCTCAAGCTTGGTCCAGCGTCTCATGAGCGTCTCTCTCATCCTTCATTTCCCGAAAAAGAATTCACGCTGGGCGGGCCGGCGTCTCCTTCTCCTTCCTAACCCGGCTTGCTTTGTTGAGACGTCGACGCGCCATGCACAACCCCGTTTCAGCCGAGGCTCCTGCCCTACCTAAATCCGATTCTCCTGCGCCACCCATCAAGCCTCCAGCACGACTGCCAATCAAGGCAGCCGGCCGCCGCTCGGACGGTGAGATAGACCCCGTTGAGTACCAGCGCCTTCTAAATGAGGCCGACCGCTTGACCTGGGAGCAATGCTATTATATCATGAAAGAGGAGGCGGACATGGCGAGAGTTCTTCTCCTGCACATCGGTCTCGAGCTGTTGTTTGACCTCCCAAAATTCATGCTGATCGCGCTGGTGTGGTCTTCAACCAAACCAGCTTTGGGCTGACGAGTCCCATCACGCCGGTACGATTGATTGACAGCACGCATAGGGTCCGCAAAGCTGGCTGAAGATGCAGTTGCTCTGGACACGCACGAACGTGGCGCAAGCAGGCCCGTGCAAAGATGAGCTCATCACACCGCCGCACCATCGCACGCCGGCGGGAGAGCTGTCGAACTCGGCTTTGCAACTGAGACGTCCCTGGGATCGCCAACGTTGCGCTCCCGTCAGCGCTCACTGCCGCCTTATCCGCAGAGATGTTGACCAGTGTGAGCCTAGTGAGTAGTGTGTCACCGCTGGTGGTGTCTCCAGTCTCGCAGAGAGGACAGCAGACACGTGTGTGTCGTCGCGTGCGCGAGAGAAATCAGAAAACACCAATCACGGTGAACACAGTTGGTTCTGCGTCCATGTTCCCTGTGGGTGTGCTGCCTTGCCATTTGTGTGCAAGAAGCAGATCTAAGATCCAATCATCCAAAGACAAACACCACTCTCGTACCACACACACACACACGACACCCACACACACGACACACGTCGACGTGCCGCACACACCCAGACACACCACACAGCACACACACCACACGCGACACAATCGTTACGGCGTGCGCCGCGCAACCGCAAAGGCAAACACGAAGTCTCACTCGTGCTGCGCGTGCCCCTGCGCCCGCCGGCCCACGCCCCTCGCTCAGATTGACCTTCTCGAGTGCAAGTTCTCCTTCTTGAGCGCATACACGGCGCCGCCCGCGCCCTCCACGTTGAAGCGCCCTGCGGCCGCTGCCGGGCCGATGACGGTTGCAACCGTATCGTTGAGCTCGGGCCGCGACCTGAGGCCGCTGATGATCACCTGCTCTCCGCTCGAGAAGGAGGGCCTCTCGCCTCCCCGGGCCGACTCTGCAGACGGCTGCCGCGCGCTCGCGTCGCCGCCCAGCACAGCCGCCCTCCCCGCCGTACCCGCGCCCGCCCCCGCGTTGGTGCTACATGCAGCATCGCTCTCGGCATCCGGAGCAGCCCACGGCGCTTCGGCGGCCGCATCGCCGTCAAAGCCACCCAACAGGTCTGCCGTGCCCAGCTGCTCCGTCACGGCCGCAGCACCCGCACCTTGCGGCAGCGACGACGCGCCCGCCGACGTGCCACAGCTCTCGGCGTCAAAGTCCGCCCAGCCGCTGCCCGCCGCCTCGACAGGCGCGGAGAAGGAGGAGAAGTCCGCCTCCCACGCCGGCGCCGCCGCGGCGGGCGCACCCACCGACTCGCCGCGCATCATGTCCTCGAACCGCATCGCCGAACCGCCGCCGCCGCCGCCGCCGCTGCCCCGCCCGCTTCCGTTGCGCGCCCGCGCAGCACCATTCTCGCCCCTGCGCGGCGCCTCGCCCTTTGGGGAGGAGAGCGCGCCGGACGCCGCCTCCGCCTTGAGCACCGACGCCGCCTGCGCCACGTCGACCACCTCGGGCCTTCTCGCCGGATCCGCCTGCTCGCAGAGAGGGGGGTGTGAAGAGACGCTGCTCACGACAGCCCTCCCCGTGCGCCGCCTCGAGCAGCATCTCGACGAACGGCTACTCTCGGCTACTCTCGGCTACTCTTCGGCACTCTCGGCTACTCTCGGCTACTCTCGGCTACTCTCGGCTACTCTACTCTCGGCTACTCTCGGCTACTCTCGGCTACTCTCGGCTGGCCTCAGCTACTCTCGGCTACTCTCGGCTACTCTCGGCTACTCTCGGCTGGTCTCGGCTGGTCTCGGCTGGCCTCGGCTACTCTCGGCTGGTCTCGGCTACTCTCGGCTGGTCTCGGCTGGTCTCGGCTGGTCTCGGCTGGTCTCGGCTGGTCTCGCCTCGAGGAGCATCTCGACAAGCGGCGTGATGACTGCGGCGTGCACCGCGTTGGCAGGCACGCGGTACCTGCGCGCAGCTCGGCCCTGTGAGAGGCGCCGCGCGGGGCAGGGCGGAGGTCGCCGGCACGCCGCGCGGCACCGTCCGCTCAGGATCTGCAGGTTTGGAGAGTCGCCGTCGAACGGGTGGCGCTGAAAGGCAAGCGCAAAGAGCAGCGTTCCGAGCGCCCAGACGTCGACCTGCGGGCGGGCGGGCGGCGGGCGGGGGGCGGGGTCGCCAGCCGAGAGGGCGCGGCGGCGGCGGGAGCGGCGGCAGGCGTGGCGGCGGCGGGCGTGGCGGCGGGGGTGGCGGGGGTGGCGGCGGGTGCAGCAGCTCCTTGTAGTCGATCCGGTGTCCGCGGTGCATGTCGACCATCTCTGGCGCGCGGTTCATTGCGGTGGTGTACCGGCTGATCCGGTCCTCCTCGTCAAGGCGCATCTGGGCAGAGGCGCAGGAGAGGCGGGTGGAGGGAGAGGCGGTGCGAGAGGGAGTCGTTCCTCCGAAGCAGCCTCTAGCCAGGGCAGGGCGGAGGCGTGGGGTGGGTGGGGTGCGCGCTCGGGGCGCGGGCGGGAAGAGCAGGGTTCACGGGCGAGGGCAGGTGTGCCGGCAGGTTCAGAAGTGCGACCTCCCCATGCCGCGAAGCGGAGGCTAGTCTAGGGTGGAGTCTCGACTGCCTTCACCTGCCGCGAGGCAGAGTCGCAGTCTAGAGTGCGGCTCGTTGCGGACCCAAAGTCGCAGAGCTTGCAGACGCCGCGCGCGTCGACGAGGACGTTCTCGAGCTTGAGGTCGCGGTGTGCCACCGGCGGGCTCTGCGCGTGCAGGTGGGCCACTCCCTTGCACACCTGCAAGAAGGCGTCCAGCGTCTCCGGCAACGGCAGCGGAGGCGGCAACGCGCCCGAGGCGTCCGGCATGCAGTGCTTGATGAGCGTGCCCTGCGAGCAGTACTCGAGGAGGAGCAGGTGCTCCTGGCCGCGCACGCCCGCCCGCTGCGTCGAGGCGAGCATGCCCACGATGTTCGGGTGCCGCGGCAGTGACTCCATCAGGTCTCGCTCCGCCTTGGCCAGCTCTGCGGACTCGGCGTCCTGCGCGAGCATCCGCTTGACCGCAAAGAGCTCGCCCGTCTCGGCGTGCCGTGCCATGTGCACGTACGCGAAGCCGCCCTCCGCGAGCGCCACCTCCTTCATGAGAACCGGGTACCCTCGGAAGGGCACGAGCTCCGTCCGCGCCGTCGCCGAGCGAAGCGCCCCGGCGCCCTCCTCGGCGAGCTGCCGCGCCTCCGCGAGCTTGGACTCGGCAATCTTCTTGGCGTCCTCCGCGAGAGCGCGGCCCTTGTCGAGTATGGAGGAGAGCTTCATACAGCGCGCGGCGCGAGTATCTTGCACACAGCGAAGTAAGCGCGGCGCCGCGCTGTGGCTCAGTCGCTGGAAAAATTCGGCAGTTTTTCGGTGCTGGTAGCCCCACAAAAACAGGCGCGCGCAGCGCGCCCAGGGGCGCCGCAGGCGCCCCAAGCGGCGCGGAGCGCCGCCGCAGGCGGCGGACAGCAGGTGCGCGAAATTAAACGCCATTTTCGGTTCCGCGGTTTTGCCACTAACATTGAAATCCGGTACACAGACGGCAGCCGCGCCTACCCGGATATAGCCGCAGCCACTCCCAGCTACTCGGTGTGAACAGAGAGTTCGTACACCGAGCAGCAGGGAGGACCGAGGCCCCTCGGTGTTCACAGCGGAGTGGCTGGGGCATCCAGACAGGCGCCGCGCTGTAGCTCACAGTTCTGTGGGAAAAATTCTAAAGCTCAGCAAGTGCTCCAGCCTCTCTGAGCACTTGCTTGAGTGAGCACTTGATAGGGTCGATTCCGCATGGTACGGGACCCCTCGATCGTCTCGCCCTCCCTCACTGGTGTGTTCATTGGGGGGGGTCATAACAAACACGGTACAGGATCGAGGTGCACGCTGCTGAGGGACCCCAGATGGCGTCGGCCGTGCGAGCCGCAGCGGGCGACCGCGACCTGCCCACGCTCTCTCTGGGGGAGGCGGCGGACGCTATGAGGCGGGCGAGGATACGCCTGCCGGCCAGTGCGCGAGAACTCGAGGACGCGCGGGCGCCAAAGCTTCAGCGGCCGCTGTCGGCCGAGGAGCGGGGTACGGCGCCCACCTACCCCTGCTCGCGAGCGAACTCGGGGTCAGAGGCTTACTGCGAGGTCTGCGCCCTGCGACCGCCCGCGCCCGGACAGTACGCCTGCTCGACCTGTGCCGAGCTAGAGGCCAGCCGCTTCAGCGGGCAGCTCGCGTGCTTCGGGGCTGGCCAGAGGCCGCCGTCAGGCTACGAGGTGAAGGACGTGTCGCGCGGGACGGAGTTCGGCAACCCGGTCGGGATGCGCACGCACCAGCGCAGCGAGTACGTCCGCGCGGTGCGCGGCTTCGAAGACATCTGCGCAAACCTCCCTAGCATAGCCGGCCAGCCGCTCCCCGTGCCGCTGCTCGAACGCCTCGACTGCGTGATGGGGCCGCAGCTGGAGCTCACGCGCAGACACCTCAACGACGGGCTGTGGAGCGTCTCGCGAGAGGTGTTCGAGGGCGCGGCGTTCGCCCTCCGATGCCGCTGCGCCGGCCTGAGGCGCGGCTTTCCGTGCCACAGCCAGTCAGTTCGCCGGGAGCTGATACGCCGGGCGGAGGCGTGGGCGGACTGGCCGCAGGGCGAGCGACATCGAGACCGACCTCCGCGCGGACAGCCCGAGGGTTATCCCACGACTCGCGAGGACGCCGATGACGCCGAGGGGGCGGCGCCGGGGCGTAAGCGGCGGCGCGGATCCCGAGGCGGGCGCAAGCGCACCAATCGGCCGCGCGGAGACGGCACTCGCGACGAGGCGTCTGCGCCCCGCCTGTTGCTGGCGCTACCTACCGCGGGCGGACCGCCCAGCTCATCGCGAGACGACGACGAGACCACCGTGGTCGGCGGCTCCGACAGCGAAGCCACTGTCGTGGAGGACGACGTGGTGAAGATCGAGCCGACCCCGAGCCCGCGGGGGACCCCGGCGCCGGCCGTCCCGCCGGAGGGCCGCCTACTATCGTTGCGAGCCCCGAGTCTGGGCATCGACGAGGCCTTTCGCAGGCGGGCGGGACGCTTCGCCTCCGGCCTCTACGAGGGAGGTTCCGCGAGCCCGGCCTCCAAGAGCGGGCGCCTCGTGCACCTGCGCCCCGCCGACCTGAGCAGCGAGGCGGCGATGCAGAGGCGATTTCGTCGCTTCGCGCAGGCGCCGGTGCCCGCCCCCTCGCCGGATCAGCGCCAACGAGCTCTCTCGCCCGTGGAGCGGGGCTACCACCGCTCGACAGCCAGCGCGCGGGCCAACTCGGGCTCGGAGGTCTACTCGCCGGAGACGCGCCGCGCTCGCACGCGCCCTCTCTACGAAACGCGGCGACGCCCGAGTGGCGCAGATCCGCCCCGCGACGAGCCGCGGCGCGAGGCGCGCGGGGCGATCGGGACCGCACCCGCGCCCGGGTCGGAAGCGGCGGGCACCCGCCCACCGGGCAACAGGTCCGGCAAGCGACGCGCTGAAGGCGGACCGAGGTACGCCAGCTGCTGGACGTGCCACGAACCCTTCGAGCCTCGGACGCTGGGGCCCAATCTATTCTCTCGTTGCTGCGTCAGCTGTCGCCCGCCGAGCCCACCGCGCGACCGCACGGGCCCGGGCGAGGCCTCCTCAAGCAACGCCGATGGAGGCGCGGGAGGGCGACACCTCGCAGACGAGCGCGCAGGGATGCGTGGCTTACAGTCTGGGGCAGCGGCCAGGCCGGCCGATGCAACGCCACCGTCCCTGCCACCGTCGCCGGTGGACGAGCCGCTGCTCCCGCGCCGCCGGGTGGCCGCTCTGCCTCCGGCCCCGAGCGGGGCGCAGGGACCCTCGCGACCCCGCCCGCTCTCGCCGGTCGAGAGGCACACGGATTTGGCCTGCGCCGGCGCCAGGAGCGACTCGGCCTCCGAGCCCCCGTCGGCGCGACTGCAGTGGCTTGCGCAAGTCAACGAAGTCTTTCGGGGCGGCCAGAGCCGGGCGCCTCGCCAAGCGCCTTCGGCCATGACCGCGGCGCCCATCGTTGCATCCGGGCCTCCCCCGGCAACGGCAACTCTGGATCCTCGACCGACGCACGGCGCGACAGACCGCAGCCCAGGGCGCGACTGGAGCGCCTCCGTCATCGAGATCCTCAGTGGGCAGCGCGAGCCTCCGCTACAGACGACCGGGCCGGTCGAGGTCGCCGCTATCCCCGGCGCCACCATCACGACCCGGAGAATCGTTGGCGTTGGAAGCCACGCGCGCTTCGACATGGTCGAGCCGCTGGCCGGGGCCAAGCGGAGGAGCGAGTCCGCGCTACGGCGCGCCAGTCAAGAGATGGCGCGCCTCGCCAGCCGACGCCTCTTGGAGGACGACTCCGCCGGGCGCATCGGGTGTGCCCCCGGCTTCCTGCAAGATATCCTCCTAGCCGAGGAGGACCTGATGGACTACGGCATCAACTACAACACCAACACAAAGGACGCCTGTGCGTGGGACGCGTGGGAAGAATTCTGCGGCGCGCACCGGCGTCCGCTCGGCCTGAGCTGTGACCCTTGGGACCAGCCCCCGAGTGGATCAATGGACACCTCCATGCGGTGGTCGCCGTCCTTGTCAGCCGTCCTGAGCGGAGGCAAGGTTTGTTCGATCCAGGACCTCTTCCCCCGCAGACCGTCCTCAGTGGGGAGAGGTGGGGCCCTTCCTCCCGCAGATCGTCCTCAGCGAGGAGGGGCGATCCCATCAGGAGGTCGTTCCTAGCGACTCGGCTCCCCCCGCAGACCGTCCTCAGTGGGGAGCCCTCCTTTTCCTGGGCGCACATGGTGGTGGCGGCGACGATACTCCAAACCGGCGAAGGCATGGGCAGCTCGAGGAGGCGACCGCTGGCCCTCTCCTGTCGGACTGATGGCCCGAAACAACTACCAAGACTTTGTCGAGCTCAACGTCTCTACCTGTGGCGCGACCGACGCAACTGCGGAGGTGTTAACTGCTGTCGGCAACAGCCAGCCGGAGGGCAACCTCGTTAGGAGGCTAGAGATCTCCCTCATCCGGGGGGAGGATCGCCCTGCCACAGCTACGCGAGCGACGCCAGCTTGCGAGACGTTCAATTCGAGCATTCGGGCCGCGCGACCTATGGAGACCCAGCCAGAGGCAAGCGTGGGCGCTGCCCAAGCGGATCGCCGGCAACTAGTGCCGCCCGCGCCTGGCGCGACCGCCTTCAAGCGCGGGCGGCCCGTGACTTTGCTCCATCAAACGGGACAAGGCAAAAACACAGTTGCACAGATACATGCCGGCGGCGCGACTCCCCCCCGCAGATCGTCCTCAGTGGGGGAGACCGCGACACCGGTGACGGAGCGCAGTTGGGAGTGTCTTCGGCTCACGCCAGGGCGCTCGTTGCTCCTCCGTCTCTTTGTATCTTCCATACTGCATTTATCAGAAGACGTATGGTTCTTGCACTTGTGCAAGATTGGGCGTCTTCTGCCGCAGTCCCTTTGATGGGAGGCCCCAGGGTGGGGGCCACCTCGAACCCCCGGCCAGGGATTCGAGCGGAGGGTGCCCCGGATTCATCTATCCGTTGGGCCCCGGTACATTCATTAGAACTGATCACTTTGCGCAGCAGCCGTCCCTTCGCCGACTGGACGGCAGTGCGCTGCGTTGTCGCTCTGTCGTGCACGCTCTCGTGCCTCGTTGTTGTGACCCACCCTGTCCCACCCGTGTGTGATCAGTGTCTACGGAGGGAGTGTCTTCGGCTCACGCCAGGGCGCTCGTTGCTCCTCCGTCTCTTTGTATCTTCCATACTGCATTTATCAGAAGATAAATAAATAAATACAACGGACACGCCAAACGAGGGGTGGGAGAAGGACAGGGTCCCCACCTGCACAAGCAGGATCTTGTAGGACGATCAGGGACACAGGGGAACGGGAGCGGGGAGCGCATCGCGACACGGAGGGGGGCTGGGCAGGGGGTTCACCCTCACGACAGGAATCCCATCTCTCGTATAGGACAGGTTGCACCCGGCGGCACGGGGGCAAGCGCGGGCCTCCTACTGGTTGCGCTCTCCTAGTTCTCCTGCTCCTGACAAGGGACAGCGACAGGCTCGCAGCACAGTGGACTCCCTATCCACTGGCGATCTCTCTCGACTAGCGACCTTCCTCCGACGTCTCACCGGCAGTCTCTTCTACCACAGGCAGACTGACACGTGGGTGGCAGTGGCGGTGATAGGAGTCTCCCACTCTGTGGGCCTCGCTAGAAGTGCGACCCCTGCGCGTGTCCTCGCCCTTGAGGAAGGGGAAGGGGCTGTGTGTCTGTGCATGTGTACAACATGTGTGTGTGTGTGTGTGTGTGTGTGTGTGTGTGTGTGTGTGTGTGTGTGTGTGTGTGTGTGTGCTCGCTCGCTCGCTCGCTCGCTCGCTCGCTCGCTCGCGTGCGTGCTCGCATGCGCGCGCGCGTGCGCGGTCGCGCGCGCGCTGCGCGAGCCGCCCTGCCCGCTGCGCTGCTAGGGTTGCGCTGCGGGAAGGGCTCGGCGGCCGTTCCTAGAAATCCTCGTCGCTCCCCCTTTATCAGAAGACAGTGTTGAGTTCGTTCTAGCTAAAATTCTTGCCCTGCCGCTTCGCCACTCGCAACACACGTATGCTGCCGCCCAACAGGTGTTACGGTTTCAACGCGACAAAAAGGCAACTCGTCTTCAAGCGGCGAGGCCGCGCGCTGCCGCGCCGGTCCGTCCACCGGCTGGCACGCAGCCCGTTCCAGGCCTCGCTGACGCCCGACGACACCAGCTCTCCCGCCTGTGCGGCGCCCGCGGAGGCCGGCGTGCGTGGCAAGAAAATTCTGCAGGACCGCGTGCGGAAGCACGCGGAGCTCGACCGCGTGTGGTCCTTCCTCGTCGCGCGGCACGACGGCCTGGAAAGAGTCGAGGCGAAAATACTTCGCGAGGTGCAGCAGCGCGCTCTGCAGCTCTTGCAGGGCGTGCAGCGAGAGATGGCGCAGCGGGTCGTGGCCGCCACCGCCGCGCGCGCGGACGACGGGTGGCGCGGCGACGGGTGGCGTGGCAACGGCAACGGCGCGGGAGCGGTCGGACATCGTTGAGCCTAATGGCGTCGAGAGAGTTGTTGTGACATCGTATTTAGATTTTAGGCGTGGTGCTGTGAGACACACGCACACACGTTTTAATCGCATCAAGAACACATGTGAACCATGCACGTGTGGCGCGCGAGCTCTCGAGGGAACGGACTGCGGTCTGCCTCTCGTCAGTATCCCGCCTCCCAGTCAAAGGTCGCTCCGCCTTCGCGCAGGGCCTCGACGCCGCCGCGCTCAAACCGCTCTAAATTGTCTGCGAAGGCGGCGGCGACGTCCTCCGGCTGAGTCACCGCCGAGTTGTGGCTTGTGACGGTAGCCTTTGGGTGAGCCCAGAGGGGCGACTCTTCGCGCAGCGGCTCCGGAGCGAAGACATCGCTCACAAAGTGGCCCAGCCAGCCTCGCTCGAGTGCCTCGAGGGCGGTGCTCTCTCCAATCACGTCGCCGCGCCCCACGTTGATGAGCACGGGCGGCTTCGTGGGCGGCTGCGCGCCGTCGCGGCGCGAGGCGGCGGCGGCGGAGAGGACGCTGCCGTCAATCAGCCCGCGCGTCGCCGGCGTCGAAGGAAGCACCGAGACGATGTAGTCTGCGCTCGCGAAGAGCTCCGCCAGCCCGTCCATGCCGAGGACACGGCTCACGCCGGCGCTCGCGTCCGTGTCGCGAGGCGTCGGGTCGCGCCGGCACCCGATCACCTTCATCCGGAGCCCGTGGTGCGCGACGCGAGCAATCTCGGAGCCGATGTCTCCGAGGCCGAGTACGCCGAGTGTGAGCGACGAGAGGCGACGGTACGTGAAGCCGGCCGAGGCGCGCGAGGCTGCCCACTCGGCGCGGCTCTGCATCCGGCGCTGCTCCTCATACTGCCGCTCTAGCGCGAGGATGTGCAGCGTGCAGTACTCGCCCATGTCCGGCCCAAAGCAGCCGGCGAGCCGAGTGACCGTATAGTCGCGCCGCGGCACGTCGAGCAGCTGGTTGCAGCCCGCAAAGGTCGACTGCAGCCACGCGAGGCGCGGCGCGCTCGCAACCAGCGGCGCGAGCAGCGCCGGCTCGCCCACCAGTACGTCGCATGACTGCAGCTGCAGGGCCGGGTCCTCACCGGTCTCGGTCCAGCGGATCCACGGCCCGGCGAGGCCACGCGCCTCAAAGGCGGCGCGGAGACCCGCGATCTGTGACACAACGAGGACGGCGGGGCGGGGCATATACGCGTGTGCGTTACCCGCACGAGTGGACGACCCGAGCTTAACGAGCGGTGTCGCGCCGCCGCGGCTGTTATATTTTATTTTTTGGGGTCCACCACGAGCGTTCGTAATCTCTGTCCCGCGCCCACCCATACCGCGTTGGTGTCCAGTCCGAGCCTGACTGTTCTTCACCTTCCTACCTAACCTAACCACACTGTTCCCGGGCATAGTCTGCTATGTTATAATACCGCCATCTCGGCTCCGCCCAACGGAGATTATTTATTATGTTGTTGAGATTATTAGGGATTTCATTCCTTTTGGTTTTGGAGAAGATTTCCTGTTCCGTATCTTGGTTCGTAATAACTCTCCCGACAGCATCTTATGGACTCATGCGGTCGCTAGCTTTCCGCGCCGGCCTACCTGTACCTCCCGTGGCTCGCTCATACAAGCGACCCATGGCCTCGAGCCCATGGCGACAACCACACCTATGCGACCCGCGCGCGCTGCGTGGCCGAAGAATCGGAAAGTATAAACATTTATTTTGTCCCCAAGGGCGCCGCACACTCTACGCGCGCGCCTCAAAACCCCTCCGCCCTTGCAAAGGTCCGCCAGTGCGTCTCGCACGTCGCCGTCGCGGGGACAGGCCAATTGCTGCAGCAGCCCTCGCAGGGGTAGAAGGCCGGGTTCCGGCTGGCGGCCGCGTTTCGGCTGAGCGTCGCGAACACGTTGGACCTGGACGCGTCGTACTCGATCTTGAGGTCGACGAGGTCGCCCAAGAAGGACCGCCGCGCGCCGCGCGTCAGGGCGATGCGGTCGACGGCGTTGATGTAGAGCTCCGCGGTGTTGGACGCGATGTCGAGCCGCCACCCCGCGGCCGAGTTGTCAGAGTTGCACTCGGCGAGGCCGTCCACCTCGAAACAGTTCATCGCCCACGGATCCGGCGGCTCCCCGGCGGCGCGGTAGACCCGCCCCGTCTCGGGCGCGGTGTAGTCGGGCAGCGGCTCCGTCGGCCGAGTCGGCGTCACCCAGTACATACCGTCGAGCTGTAGGGGCAGCGTCAGCGAACCCCACTGCGTGATACTTGACGCAGGCACGGCGATCGCGCTCCCAGGCAGGAAGGACACGCCTCCCGCATCGTAGCGGCAGCTGTCGCACCCGGGCACGTCCTCGCTCGTGAATAGGTGCAGCGCCGCCGCGGCGGCGCCGCACACGCCAGCCTCCACCTCGTTGATGATCCAGACGCACGGCGCGTCGCTCGTGCCCGCCCCGTTGCAGTAGTCCTGCGCGTTTGCCGGAGCGCTGGCACGCGGCGCGCCCACCCACTCGACAAGCTGCGTCGCGTCGATCTCGTACCGCACGTCGCCCGAGTCATCGGGCGCAAACATCAAGCCGAACCTCGTCGCACGTGGGTCGTCCGAGTTGCCCTCCGCAGGAGGTGAGGGCGAGGGCGCCGTCTCCGCAGGGGGTGAGGGCGAGGGCGAGGCCAGCGGCGCCGGCGACGCGCAGAGCGAGCGAAAGCGGTCAACCACCCGGCTCGCGCTCTCTTCGGACGTCGTCGCCGACGCCTGCACTTCGTTCTCGTACGCGACGCCGCCGTAGCCGTGCTCAGCAAAGTAGTACGCCTCCTCGATGCAAACGGACGACACCTGTGTAGGCGGATCGAAGATGGTGTCCATGGCCGTGAGCCACTGCTCCACGCCGCCTCGCACGTCGAGCTGCGCGCCGAACTCCGTGAGCAGCACAGGCCGGCCGAGTGCCCACGCTTCCGCCTGTAGCGTGCACGCCGCATCGTGCGTCCACACCATCGACCCAACCACGCCGGCGGTGTCGGAGGCGGTTGCGTAGGCATGAAAGGCTATGTACGTCACGTAGAGCGGGCTGGCCGGCTCCTGGCACTCTGGACACGCGGCGAAGAAGGCGCTGTAAAAGTCGCGCATCCAGTCGAGGCCGTTGTGGACGGCGGGGCCCACGATCTCGTACCCCGCGAGCTCCGAGGCGCATCGTGCCTGGTACACCTTCCAGGTGGCGGCCGCCGCCGCCCCAGAGTCGCGCGGAGGCTCGTTGAAAAGTGAAAACCGGCTCCGGCCGTTGACGCTTCCGGCCGGGGGCGGGCACAGCGCCGAAGAGTCGTCCCACTGCTTGAGCATGAGGCCCGAGTCGGTCCAGTCGTTGAGGCCGTTGAGGTCGGCGGCCGTCAGGAGCCCGGCGTTGATGGCTGCCTGCGCGTTGTTGCTGCCTCGACCATATTCAGCCGCGATGGCGCACTTGACGCCTCGGGCTCCAACGCCGCCGCCGCCGCCAGGGCCAGAGGGCGACGGCGTTGGCGAGGGGGCGGCGGAGGCCGGATCGCAGCCGCCGCAGGCCTCTGAAAACTCGACACCCGCCACCTGCGCACAGGCCGCGGCCTCGTCCATCTTTGGTCCATCCGGCGACGTCTGCAGCCACTCGATCCGATCGCCGCACGAGCACGTCGTGCACTCGCTATTCGCCGCCGCCGCCGCCCACACCCCTGGCGTGCACGCGGCCGTGCCGCACTTGAACCACGGCGGAAGAGGTGGAGAGGGCGGCGGGGGCGGCAGCGCCACGATCGAGACATAGTCGATCGAGTAGGTGAGTGGGTAGGCGTCGTCGGGCGGCGTGGCGTACCCGACGCCGTTCCCGCCGAAGGCGAGGTTGAGGAGCGCAAAGTGGGGCTTGGCGTAGGGCCAGTCGTAGTTGGTCGAGCCGGGGCTGCGGTCGAGGAACCAGGTGCGCTCCCCATTCACGAAGAACTCAAGCTTGTCCGGTGACCAGTCCATCCGCACGGTGTGGAACTGGGTGAGGTCGAGCGGCTCGGAGCTGCCGCCCGGCAGCGCAGTCCCCGTGCCCCAAGAGTGCTTTGCCGAGTGCGCCGTCGAGTAGAGGCTCTCGCCGGAGCGGTCGGGCGGCGCGCGCTGGAAGTTCTCCATGATGTCGATCTCGCCGCACGCAGGCCAGCTAACCTCTCCGATGTCGTTGCCGAGGGTCCAAAATGCTGGCCATGTGCCGAGCACGCCGGGCACTCTCAGCCGCGCTTCCCAGCGGCCATAGGCAATCTCAACCTTGCCCTCCGTCGTGAGCCGACCCGAGGTGACGCGGCCGTCGCTCTCCCTGCGAGCCGTGATGTGGAGCATGCCATCGCGAACGTCGATGTTCTCCTGTGAATCGACGTAGCATTGAAGCTCGTTGTTTCCGCCGCCGTCGCAGTCGACCTCGACGTTCCACACATTGCGGTCTAGCGCCGCGAGGCCTGCGCCGTCAAAGTCGTCGCGAAAGAGGTACTCTGCTGGCGATTGCTGCGAGGGCGGTGGCGGCGAAGGCGGTGGCGGCGGCGACGGTGACATGGGTGGTTGTGATGGTGGCGATGGTGGCGGCGGTGGCGGCGGCAGAGGCCCTTGTCCAGGCGGGTATGGAGGCAGCGGAGGTGGCGACGGTGACGGTGATGGCGGTGGCGGTGGCGGTGGAGAAGGATCGATCAAGGTTGATGCTGATTGGTTCCCAAGACTCGAGTCTGGGCTGACCAAGGCGAGCACGCCTGCGACAGCGAGCGCCACGCCCGCAAGCAGCGAGGCGATGGCCAAGGCAGTGACGACGATGATACAGCGGTAGAAGCGGAGAAGCGGAGGAGGCGGACGTGGTGCTACGTGGAAGGGGTCGATAGACACCGTGCTGTGGCGCGACTCACTTTTCATTGGCGGCTCACGCGCGGGCGAGCAAGCTCTCCGCTGTCGGTCGTCGGCGCGCCTCTAGCCGCAACGCGAGGAGCACGGCGGCAATATCGAGCGGGCTTCAGCTGGCTTTTCTTTCTTTTTGAGCTAGCCTTCGATGTTATGAGCGTCTCCCCCATTCGTTTTCTCCGCTGCGGCTTCTTTTCTTCACTTTTTTGCATCATGATGGTGGGCGATGCCGGTCGATTGCAACACGCCGCGTGCCTCGTCCGACGCCTCTTCTGGTTCGTCGTCGGCCTGCCGTTCTCCGTGTTTCTCTATCTGCGCCGCTGGCGCGCCAGTGTTGTTTGCCAGAAGCACGCTCGCGGGTTCCTGGCGCGGTCGCGTCAAGTGGATCCTGCTCCGAAGCAGGCAGCGGTGAACGGTGCGCCTGTGACGGTTTCTGGACGCCGATCCAGCCGCCTCAGCAGGTCGTACCCCTCTCCGCGCTGCCTCGACTTCAGCGGCGGCAGCAGCGCACAGTTACCAAAACAACGGGGAGTTGTGGAGGCCGGTGATGAGGCAGGATCGGCCCCGAGGACCAGCAGACTGTCCCAGCTCCGCGTCACGTTGCTGCTCTTGGCCATCGCCTTGGCCATCGGCGCGTCGATAGGACAGACAGAGCGCTCTGCCACCCCATCGCACTCGCCACTGCCGCCACCTCCGGGCACTGCACCCCCTCCGGAGCCTCATTCTTCCCAGCCGACGCTCCAGCGCCCGAAGAAGGAGCCGCTCCGTTGGATGCGCAAAGCCCTCGGAGGCAGGGTCTAGTGGAGGGTGGGAGCGCTGCCCCTCTTACTGTTTATTGTCGGGGCCTGCTGTACCTTTGGACTCTGTGCGTGCTGTACGACACCCCTCTCTGTGTGCACCTCCACCTGTCACACGTGACACGTGTCACGTCTGTACATGCGTACAATATGTGTGTAAGACTGTACGCGTCAGAGCGAGAGTGTGGTTTGGTGTTTCGCTTGAGCAAAACAGAATGGAGCAACGCTCAACGCACACATACACCCGGCGCCACACGCCACACACGCGCTCTCCAGGGACCACGCCAGGAGCGCGACACTGTGTGTGCTTGTGCGAACGTCAAACCTCACTGAACTCTCTGCATGCCGCCGCACACGAGTCTCGGTCCTTGGCGAGTGCAAAGCACCGACTGCGTGCGCCAAGCGAGCGCACCAAGCCCGCCGTGGTCCACCGGCCACGCATTCTCTAACCCAGAGAGAAGGGCCGCAGGAGCCCAGAGAGAGAGATGAGGGACAGACAGACGGAGAGGTGGGATGGGAGAGGGGGAGAAGGAGAGAGGGAGGGAGAGAGGGAGGGAGGGAGGGGGTAGCGGGCGAAGAGGCCGCTCCCGCCCGCCGGGTCCGCGTCGCCCACCATCGACCCCTCGGTCTGCACCTCCACCTCGCTCCGCTGCTCCTTGCGCTCGGCGCGCTCGGCGTCGGCCGAGGCGAGCGTGCGCTCCGTCTCACGCAGCCGCTTGACGAGCTCCTCGCACACGCGCGTGGCCATGTCGAGCTGCTGATCGCGCTCTGTGACGGCACGCCAGGGGGGGGGGGGGGGCGGTCCCCCCTCCTCATTTTT